CTTGTAAAAATAAATAAAAAATAATAATGCATTTATTCTATTTTTAAAAATATCTGGGTACTTACATAATTTTTCAAATTGTTGTATTTGAGATTCATGCGCTTATCTGATTTATAACATTAATTACCTGTGTATTTGGTCATTAACGTGATTATCCAGTTTATAACGATAATTACCTGTATATTTGGTAAATAACGTTAATAACCGGTGAATAACGTTAATTTCCATTTAACATCATTTACCGTAACATATATATGTACAAATGCCAAATTATATTGTATTGTGTACAGTGTATTTTATAAAATTCTCAAATACATGATCATAAGACCTCAAAGATCAGAAGTAAGGTAGGTATAATAACGTGAATTTAATATTTGTATCTGGCTGGTCGTAGGTGATGGTATTCTCCAACACTTAGGTATAATTAAATAGAGAAGAATCCACTATATCTTTAGTCTGTTTATTCAAGTTTTAGCTATTTTTAGATATTCGACTTTATTTTTCTTAATATTTTATTTTTACGTTATCACAGATTACTTAGTGTACACTGCATACGTATATATTTTATTAAAAAAAAATATTGCCTCAATATGCTCAAAAATTTGTGACAGTAAAAGTGGCAGTGACCATTTTTGGTAGAGATAACAACAATAATAATGATAATAAAGTATAGAAATGAAGAAAACAATCAGTTTTTCTAAAATGTATCACTTTCTTTTCTTTTCTTTTTTTTAAATATTTTTTCTTTATTATAACACAAATAAAAACAGATAAAATTTAAAAGTAATAAAAAATAATAAATACAATGATAATAATAATATAATTATACATATAATAATATTAATATATTATATAATTATATAGGTCGTATTACATAATGATGCATATAAGTTCGTATATATGCATAAATAAATATACGTCATCGTTAACTCGTCTAGAAGTCGACATAAGTTTTGTGAAAATACAAAAAAAAATTTAAATAAACAATTTTAAATAGTATATATACTGTCTAAGTATATTTTTTCTGTTGGAGGGGTAAATAAAAATTACAGAAATAAAATATACATAAACTATATAAGTATAGTCAAATAACGCATACATGGAATAATGTATTAGTATAATATAATATTATTTTAATTATTATTGAAAAACGACATATGAAAAAAAAAATGAAATTTTTTTTTGTATTCATAAATTTTTATTTTTTTTTAGTAAATTTTTTTTTACAAGATTTAATCTACGCGCGTCTTGTTTTACAGCATAGAAAAACGGATTGTCGAAAAAGTAACAACAACAAATATTATTTAACAAAAAAAATTCGACAACTCATTTTAAATATATCTAAAAAAAAAAAAAAAATAGTTTGTTCTAAAAGGATATCCCTATAACAATTAGGTAATAATATATGAATCACATTGGAAAAAAAATAGTAATATACCCGTTCCACCTCCGTTTTTATACAGTTTTTTTTTAGTATTATGATAACACTATTTTAAAATACTTAAAATTAATTTTTTATACAGTTTTTAATTTTTTTTCAACTTTTATTTTGTAACAAAAAAAGGAAATTACAACCGGAAACTTACGGTTAGTAATAAGGCAACTTTGATTACAATATTATTAATAAATTACATTATATTTAAGTGTTAACAGGTATTGTATTGAATTATTTTATATAATATGTACCTATATTATTATATTAATTTTTTTAATGGCCAAAGACAAAGTGTTGTTTTAGACAAGCACGGAAGGGACATTAGCAAGCGTAAATAAAGAGATAGACATTGTATATATAATATATATAATATACATATATGTATATATGTATATATATATATATATATATAGATATAGAAATAGAGAGAGTTAGAGACATATTATTTATGTGTATATATATATTTATAAATATTACTAGGTAGGTATACATATAGGATAATTAAAAATTCAAATTTTTTTTTTTGTTCAATGGGATAAAATTGGAATTCCCATGGAAAATATTATAATAGACGGAATTGAATACATCATTTTTTTTTCAAAATTATTATTAAGATATATTATTATACATAGGTTTGTCGTTTTATCACAGATTTTTTTTTTTTTTTTTAATAACGCTTCTAAATGCGTTACTCTGATGTAAGTATATGTATATAATATTATATTAAAATAGCGTTTAAAGAGAGTAATCATAATAATAATAATAATTGTATTTTCATTACATAACAAAAAATCTTGCGAGAATTATCAGTTTAAAACATAATATTGAATGATAAAATTTAACGATAAAAATCACCAAAAAATATGAATTCACGACGATCCGTTTATAATAATTAGTATTACAATCAAAACATATTGGCAGTTTAATAACATAAATACGTCGGTGATGAGACGACAACAAAAAATGAAAATGAAAATTAACATCATATTTATGGTCCCGAGTGAAATAAAATTTACGAGTATTATCAACTAGAAAAATTATCCTAGCACTTGATATTTTTTTTTTTTTATTTTTTAAAAATTGTATTTATTAAAAAAACAAAAAAAAAATGAATTAATTTAACAATTAAACAAAATCTATACTATGTACAAAGTCGTTTTATTCACAAATACAGAGATAAAATATAAAGATAGGTAATAAATAGATAAACATAGTTAGAGAAAGATTAAAAGTGGATGAGAGAGATAAATATATGGGACAAAATATACATCGTATAACATACTATCATGCCTATTTTGTTTAATATTTACGTGTATATTATATAATAAATACTCAGGCTATTATTTAAGTGGATCGAAACCAATACTACAATTGTTTTGGAAAATATGACTTAAAAGTTTTAATTTGATCTAAAGGTTTTTGAACAAACACATATTAAACTATTTAATAATGTAGATTATCCACTAATTGTAGGTGAGTAAACATACATACAGGACCTAATTTACGATTTTTGTTGTCAGGTACATAATCATAAAGTGCAAGCTTCTATTAGAAATTTAAGCTACTCGTCGATTATAACTAACACAAAAAAAAAAAAAAATGGTAAAAGATTCAAATGAAACCACAAGTATTAAGTGTTCTTTTAATGATTCTATTTAAGACACATCAATTTTTATCCATATGGTGGTTAAAAATCTATCAACAATATTATCATCGTATTATGATTAGTACTTTAGTTACTCCAATTTTAACTGTATGTTATGCTTTTATTAACCAATCTCATCAATACTTACAAAATAAAATTTTATTATTCAAGCTAATGGGTACCTAGGTGGTTTTGTTTAAATCAGGGACAGTATATAAGTGCATACCTATTTTTTAAAACACCTGCATGTGTATGTGTGTGTGTGTGTGTGTGTGTGTGTTTATGTCTCTGGATGAATAAACTAAAAACAAAGAGAATAGGGAATTAATAAACTTAATAATAGAAAATATTGGAACAATGTTTTAGAAATATATTATTATGAATACATGGTTTATAAAACCTACGCTTCTGAAATCGCACGAGATAAAACGATTGACAAAAAATAAATGAAACAGAACAATATTATATTAGGTATACAAAAGAGAAACACCATACATAAAAGAACATAATATAATGTACAACATAGTTGCCTACACTTTTAAATGCAACATAAAGTCACATTTCATATAATATTTATAGTAATAATATAATAATAATAATAATAATAATAGTAATAATATTTTATAGAGTATACTGAACAACATCATAAACGCTCCAAAAGTACAAAACGAAAGAAACCACTATATATAATATAATATTATGTGGTAATTTTAAACATACACACACACAAAAGAAACTCGCAACGATTGTGAAACTTGTGTCTACGAAAGCGTTTTCAGGTGATATTATTATGAATACAAACGAAATGGAAAACGGAGGAAAACGATACGAGTATTACCGAGTTTAGCGCTTTTTGTACTTTAAGGCAAAGCGAAATTCGGATTAATATGTACGTACAGCTTATGAACTCCGACGTTTCAAACGATTCGAAAAATTTTAGCTTTAACCATAATTATTTATATCACTTGTGTCTATGAAATTCCTTTAGCAACGATGTGTCATACAACATTTGTATTACGTTATTAAATATGTTATATTATTGATTTTCGCTTTGTCTGTTACAATAAAACGAGTAAGTGGTTTTTTAACAGTATTTTTCAAAACGGCAGAGAATAATGTCACGGACATTCCCTTGTCGTCATTATCCAAAAAAGAAAACGTCTTGTCGTGTTCGTTTCGAATTTCTGAGAAATAAACAATGATATTATTGTGCATGGTCGGTATATATATATTATCTATATACAGATAATAATAATTAATAAGCAACATTCTTTTACAATAAACATTTGATGAAGTAAAAGTTACGCTGGTTATACGTTTTTAAAATTATTTAGCAGAATATGAATATTTTATAAATTAAAATATGAAAATTTTAAGGATTTAAATTATTACATAACATATATTATGTATATCATACTCACAAAAATATACGGCGTAAATAAAATATTAAGAAAATATGACCCCCGACGATAAAATCCCAAAAAAGGTCGGGGTCCTTTGATTGCGCAGTTTCAAGAAAAAAAATTAGCATCATTATTATAATAAAAAAAAGCCGTCAGTGGTTATACTTTTTATAAACGTATTAAATGAAAAAATTGAATAAATTTTTGCAATGCAATCATAATACAATACATTATTATTTAAGTATATTGAGCGTATATATAGTAAATTACTAGAAAACGTAAATACCTAGTTATCGAGGTGTGAAAATCACGATAACAAGGGAAAACATAAACAATAAATGTACATTCGAATTCCGAAGATTAGGGGTATATAACGATTGATTTTGGCCATCAAGACAGTGTAGATTTTGGGAAAGAAAAATTTAAAATAACAAATAGAAGCAAATGAAATGGCGGATTTTTTTTTTTAAATACATATCTCATATTAATATTATGAAACTTTTATAATTTGCATTTCTATAAAAACAGTATAATTAATAATATTGTATAAAATATATTAGACAATAAAATTTTATTTACGTGGATCAAGATGTTATTTACAACGATTTTTTTTTCCTGCAACAGATCGATGATAATAATATTATATAATTCGATATTATGTGTATGTGTACTGTTTTGTGTATGATTGTTAAAAGTAGAGCGATAAGAACGAGAATAATAATAAGAGGTGCTTGTGATGTAGGTATGTATGAACACGACGACGGTATATTATATTGATCGATGGTATTCGCGTGGTGAGACGGTTGGATGGACGACGAAGTGAAAAAAGGGAATGTCCGGCCATTAAAAAAAAAAAAAAAAATGTATGTATAATATAATATCAATGTATACCCCTACACATAAACATATCATTAAAATGTTATGATCTGAACAGAAACTGCGCGACGACGATTGTAATACAATTATTATTAATTTTATGTACGATAAAAATACGTTCATGAGATTATAAAATAAAAATAAAAACCAACACTTTGCGGAAATACAACATTATTTATCCACTAAATATAATATCATATCAACCTCTTAACAAAATTACGTACACCATCCAAGATGACACGTGTGTAAATGGGGTACGTTAAAAATTCAAAAACGAGAAAACGACGAGAGTACGCGCGAAATGACGAACCGTTTTTGTTTTACTTAGGTTCGGAAATAGTTATTAATAATTATAATAATAATAATAATAATAATAATAATAATAATAATTAGGTAATAATAATAATAATAATAATAATATATAATATTTATGTAAATTTTAGGCGATGGCAGCGGCGGCGACGGTTACTGCTGCTGCTGCTTGGGCGGCGGCGGCGGCAGCGGAGCAGAATTTGAGGAGTAGTCGTCCAACAGCGACGACGAAGACGAGCACGACGATGCGACGATCGTCGGCCGGAGCGGACGCGATGCGGCGGACGACCGGAACGATCTGAGCGTTGTCGTTTTGTGTTGCCGCAGTCGTCGTTGGCGGCTGCTAAGTCTTCCGTCTCCGTCGTCGTCACAGCTGTCGCTGTTGCTGCTGCTGCTGCTGCTTCTGCTTCTGCTCTTACTCTTGCTGCTGCTGCCGCTACGGCTACGGCTGCAGCGACTGCGGCGGCGGTGGCGGCCACTACCAGACAGTAAGGGTTAGCACCAGTCGTCTTCGTCCGAATCGCTGTGCCGGCTGCTCACCCGGCCACCGCCGCCGCTCTTTTGTCGCCTGATCGCGGACACCGACGACGACGTCGACGGCTGCTGCTGCAGCTGTTTGGACGACGACGACGCGTACCCGTTGCGCACCGGCGACGGCAGCAGTCGGCCACTGCGGCCGATCGACATGGCCTGCTCGAAGCTGAGCGGCGGCATGGCCGTCATGGCCATGCTCTGCCGGGCCACAGCCGCGGCCGTGGACGTGGACGACAGCGCCGCGGGCGGCGGTTTGGGCAGCGCCGCCGGTTGGCCGGGTCGGCGACGCGTTGCTTCGGTGATCGAGGCCGGTGGTGCGGCGGCCGGGCTCAACGACGACGGTTTGTTGGGCGTGGGCGGCAACCGGCGCCTGTTGCATCCGGCCACGGCCAGCACGGGGTAACTGCTGTTGACCAGCACCGACGGCGGCGGCATCGTCATGGCCCCCGCCGCGGACGTGCCGGTCATCATCGCCGACAGAGACGTCGCGTGGCCACCGCCACCCGACAACGACAGCGAGGGGTGGTGTAGCCCGTGTGCGACACTGCCGACGACGACGACGGCGGCGGAACCGTTTGCTGGTGATGGTGCTGTTGCTGTCTCGATGACGTCGGCCCGGCGGCGGCGGACGACGAAGCCGACGCCCCGCCGCCGCCGCCTCCGTGATGCTGATGGTGGAGGTGGTGCTGCTGCTGGTGGTGCTGGTGCCGGCCGCTGCCGTTCGTCGACACCGGCGACGGGGAACGCGACCGCTGGTCCAGGCTGGTGGTGCCGTAGTACGTGCGGCCGCTCTCCGACCTGTCCGGGCTGGGCGATCGGACCGGACTCGTGGACGCCGACCAAGAACCTACGGGACAAACGGAAACACGCGCACGACAACATTTCAACGTTATTATTTTAATATAATATATAATATCATTTAATTAAATCGTCATCACATCGTGTTATGTCATGACGCAAAAAATATTTATCATAATATAATTATTAATTTTATTTACGTATTATCGTAAATAGTGTGATAATATATCGATGGCTTATCGCACGAATATATTTTACGTAGGCTCGTGAATTTGTTATACAAAAAATAAGAGCGGATGAGGTTTATGTTAATTTTAAAACTTTTAAAACGGTTTTTGGTCCCCCCCCCCCCCGTTAAAACGACTAAAATGTTCAGAACAATTATATCATTGTTACGCATAAATAAACACACCTAGGTTTAATTCTATACCTACTATGTATTTGAATGATGTACTGCATTTAATGGAAAGTGTGATTTGGCAAACACGTAGTTGATTCGTAACTATTTGATTATTTTGTGCAATATAAGCCATCGAGATATATCTAATTTAATGTATCGCATCAAGTCAACATTCCTCGACGGTTGATATGACTGGCGAGTGTTTTGTACATATTGCGTATAGTCATTACGTTTGTTATATGGGTATAATAAATAATAATAATATGCATAAAGTGACGTATTTGTCAATAGCGATATTGTTGCGCAGTGACATTTCGGAGACGATTTCGGTTTGAATTTTACATAAAAATTTGTTCAAACAAATCGTAAACGGAACGTTTGCAGCTCACGATAAGATAATAGCCCTTTCCAGGTTTTGAACACCACGCGTCATTTGCATAATCTACCTACCTTAACATAATTCTAAATTCGCCACTGCAGTGAGTATGAGTATATTCAATTATATAATTTCTTATACATGAACACAAATAACAAATAATACTATTGTTACGTGTTTAACACCATTAATACTAATGTTCCTCGGAATACCGCTAGAATCCTACAGTATCCGTACTAAGTAATAAGCGTTCAAGTTTTTTTGGACTATATTTATTCTTTCGACTATGCCGACTAGTGATATCATTCCACTCATTAGAAATTCTTCAAACATACTTTTCAGTAATAGCTTAACAGTGTGAGCGGTTTATCAGTGAGTACTTATGGTGAAAAGTAATAATTATTAATTTTATTCTATGTATTATATTCTACCTACTGTGTAAAAAATTAAATATTCAATAAATTGCACTTAAATGGGAAACGAGTAACTTTTATTATAAACGGGCTAATGTGCGTATTTGATATAAAGTAAATTCATTACAATTTACATAGGTATAATTTGTATGATATTAAAATTAGCTGTATCCGATAATAATTTAATTGTCACACGTTTTTATTATGTAAAGTAATATATAAATGATCAATTATTTGATTCCACGCCACATACTTCACGAATGTACAGTATATTTTATTTTATTGTAAGTACAAAGGAGTAAGGAAATTGTACGTAATGTATTTATAATAATTATATTTTATAATACTTGATTGATGGTAATGTTTTAATATTGTTTTTTTGATAAAAAAAAATTTAATTTGCACAAGCATTGAATCAGTATTATAATATTACAGTTAAATTATAATTAGTTGACGGAAAAAATAATTTTAACATATTATACAATATAACAAACGTTATAGATGCCGGATTTTTATTACATAAAATATATTTAGGGTATCTTAAAAAGAACTCCGGATTAATCGGTGATAAACGTCTGCGGACGGTTTTTATCAGAGCGACCTTATTAATTACACGATTGCGGACGATTATTGATAATAGTTTAACAACGGATCCCCGAAAATGACATGATTACGGATGTATATTGCCAAATTTATAAATAATACTTCGATAATGTGAAAATTCTGAATGTGTTACATGTATTATGTCACAAGTCATTTCTGTTAAATAATGCAGTACCTATATTTAGTGTTTTTATTTTATTTTTTTCATTAAAACTATGGAAAACTGTCAAATTATACCATTATAATGTGGTGAAGAATTAATTTTACATTAAAAAAATAAAAAGCGATTTAAGCAATATCGAAAAGATGGAGTTATAAAATGGTTATGTACAAATAAAGATTTGAGTGCAAGTATTTTAACGATATCAGACCATCTGAGTATTTTCCGGATGAGCATATATGTGCTGAGAATTCTGTACAAAAAAATCGAGCTCTGTTAAATAGGTATAAATGATGCTCACTAGACATTCGAACGATAAACTTATCATCGAATTGATAATCGTTAAGCTTGGTAAAATGCGTCGCACAACTTAACAACGTTTCACTAATTTCATCCGTAATCGTGTCATTTTTTGGGTACAAAATTATAACTTTTGTTAAATATGTAGTGATATTCCGCAATTATGTTGCGAAAAGGGTAAAACATTTACAATTGTGTTTTACCCGGATTTATAACTGCTGTAGATCAAATTTATTTATGTAAAAAAAAAAAAAAAACATATCATTTTTTCCAGAAGAGGTTGAGGTTTAAATTTGAAAAATAATATCGGGTATATGGTCTTACTAGCCTTAAGCGCGATCACTCGGACCATGAAATTATTCATCACCTGATCACATATTGTTCCATCAAGTTTATAGAGAACAATTTCTTCTTTAAAATCCAACAAATTGCATAGTTTGTTCTGATAAACTTACGATTTAGTATATCCCCATAGAAAAAAATCACACGGTGTCAAATCACAAAATCAAGCGGGGCAGGTTTGGCCTAACCTAATCACGCACTCGATGGATCAATCGACAATTGATCGGGTAATGAATAATTTCATGGACCGAGTGATCACATGTAGGGCTAATAGGGCCATATACCCGATATTATATTTTATGTTTAAACCTCAACTTCTTCTGAAGAGAATGATATGTTTTTTTTGTTATTTTTACATAAATAAATTTGATCTATAGAAGTTTTAAATCCGGCGTTCATTTTGAGACACTCTATATTTAAAAAAATAATATAAATATTAAAATGTAAAAAATAAACCTAATTAGTCATAAAGCCAAAGTTGTAATTTGATCAAAAAAAATATAATTTTTAAATTATAATTTCCTTGCACAGCTTAATTCCTGCGAGTCGCGAATTTTATATACTTATATAATAGCTTTAGAGATTCCGATATCGTCTCAGAGTAAACAGCAGTAAAGTAGCTATTAGGTTTTTGCAAAAAGCTTTTATTTCAAAATTTTTATATTAATTATTATTATAAAAACCATAATTATATAACTAATTTACTAAAAAAACCAAATAAAATTCTTAAATTATTAGAATATTAAACATATTATAGTATATATAGTATATAGAATGATTCATTAAGTATGTTTAACATTTTTTTTTTTTTTCAATAAAACAGTTATACTTATTTAAAATCAATTTTTTCAAATATATACTAAGACTAAATTATAGACTAAATTTTTAAGAGGTGTCTATAGAGATCATATATTTTATTTTACAAACAAAAATCCCCATCTTTACTGATATTGCTTAGCCGATAATTTTTTTGAAAACATTGAAGTTTTAAAAATATTAAGTCAAATAAGTAATTTGTGAATTATTCAACTATGTATACTAAAGATTATAATGATAATTGGTCAAATAAAATGGTTTTGGGACTTAGGTTATAATGGTTTAAAAATTGTAGTAATTAACATACATTTATCAACATTTATAGTTAGTAAAAATTTCAAAATAAAATCCAATATTAGGTACAACTATTTTATATTTTATTAAAATCATTATTAAGGAATATTATCCTTAGAATTAACATTTTAATAACTGAATTAAGAAAAAAAATTGATTGCGAACCATTAGAATCTTAAACAATTATGTAAGTCAAAATTATCAAAAAAAGTTATGTGCTAAATAATTTACAATACAAATTAGGGATTTTTGTTGAGAAAAAAACAAAAGAGAAGTTTGTATTGTTATAGGATACTACTCATTGTAGTAAACACAAAAATATTTCAAAATGTTGTGTGTTTAGTCTTCAGTATGTTTAAAAATTCTAAAAATTAGAAATGAATGAATAGGTATAAAAAGGAAAAAAGAAGTGATTTACTTTGTGAATCACTCTATATATATATAAATATTGAGTAAATTATGCGTTGCTATACTTTATACATATATTTTAATGTATGAAACAATAATTATTAATCAATTAAACTACTTTTTGAATTGATTATTATGTAAATGTCTTTATTATTTTTATTAGTAATTAAATAATATATAGTATACTGTACACAGCTCATGCGTGCGAATGATTATATAAAATATACATACAAATAATATAAATCTATTGTACCTACATCTGTATTAAAAACATGATAGCGTAGTAAATAATAATAATATTAAACTTTTGTCGTCAATGATATGAATTAGTTTGAAAATAATAAGATGATGTATACATAAATATAGCAAAGTTAGTCAAACAATATTAAATTATCAAAATTATGTTACAGTTGTATTACAATATTGTTTATAATAATAATAATATTATATTACATTTCTTAATGTGCAGTATAGTATAATTTTACACGTATGTACATACTCGATAGAAATGCCGTTAAAAATCTGAACGAAATACGAAATTTTAAGTACATAAAAAATAACAATATAAACATTGTACAAGTCTATATAATATTTTGTACTATGTATATTGATTCGCAAGTAATAATAAAATTATATAATAATGATAAAGAAAAAATACGTGCAATAATAATTGTACCGTTATCCTTATGTCTGACTTCGAGTACCTTGACCTAACGAAAAAAAAAAACCACTGCCGGTTTACCATCGAATATGTCATATCATATTTATTATGCTGAATAAATAATATTTTAATCGTTATAATTTTGTATACCAACATGAGTCAAATACACATCATCGACACAAGAAATAATATATTATATTGTTGTCTGAGTTTTGTATTTAATAAATATTAGGACTAGGAACTTGTGGTTAATGAGATATCATATTATTATAAAATAGCTAAGTTGTGTATGAATATTATTCATCAGTGATGAATCATAACAATATATACCTAGAGTTCAGATTTTAATTTAAATATTTGGTTTTAATATTTTCATATATTATTGGAACAATAACGATGGTTATAATAAAATAATAACTGTTAATAATTAATAATTATAAATTTATAAAAAAATTAAATTCTTAATTTTTTATAATATATTATTCATAATCGAGATGAAATATCTTGCTAAAACGTGGTTTTAATAAAATTAAAAAAATTAATTCATTGAATTTCGTTTAGGATTTAGGCACACAATTAAGTATTAGAGGGCTTTTAAAGAATATTTCTAATGAAGTTTCTAATCCTCATTTTAATTTACACTGATGCGTTGTAAACAACAATATATTATAATATATTGCATGATATCAAACGATGTGTATGTGGTGATAAAATACGACGTGTACTTCGTCGATTGACAATCACAAATTAATATCTATTAATTTTTCTTTGGTCGTATTAAACGCTGCAAACTATATTCTTATTATAATATTTTTATTTATTTTTTTTTTTTTTGAAAAAAAGGTCGTTACAACTTTGAGGAGCGCTTTTGAGTAGATTTAATAGGTTTCCTTCGAAAAATAGGTATACGTATAGTTATGATATATTTTTCTAATACAAAGTGTGTGTATGATGAATAGTAAATTAGTAATAAATAGTAAATTTATTATGTAAATTTTGGTTAAAATTGTGTATTTACCTCTAGGATGACGACGATGATCCAATTGCTTGACAATCTCAACAACATTGGAAACAGTATCACTGAAGCCGATCTCGTGCGGATGATGACTGTGGTGATGGTAGTGATGATGGTATCTCCTGACTGGCGACGGAGTATGACGCTCTCTACTGTTGTACATTACGACCGATAACAACATATAACACATAACAATATTTATGTTAACAGGGTTTGCGGTAAATACAATTGACCAAGGACCCCACTTTCACTCATTATTTTTTTATTTTTTTTTTTGAATTTTAAAAATATTATGCTTTTTAGAGCATAATATATAAAATAAATGAACTATCGAATTGATTAATAATTTAATTTGTATTTATAAGCGCATTTGAAATATAGATTTAGCCAAAATAGTATTGAAGCGTGGAGTATGCTTTATAAAACTGGGGTACAGTATTTGATTCATGATAAAATCAATTTTAAATACCTATATAGATAAAAATACTTTTTTTAATAGTTTTTTGTTTTAAGTTAAAACGTTGCGATTGAAATCCTTTTTAGGGTAGAGGTAAAGTTTTATTATACCTACTAAATTGTTTGCATTCAATGTCGTTTAATGCTGATCATAAGCGCTAACACGATTTGGATTTCTTGTAACTAGTAGATCTTAGTAGACGAACTGATCGCACAAAACGGAAATTCATAATCCAAATTGTTATAGGGACGGCGGATTGGCCTAAGATTGTCAGTTGTGTGGATACATGTATGTACATGATTCCATGGCCAAATACGAAATAAACAAAATATTATCGCCCTTTACTCCTTAAATGGTGATTCCCCTGAACATTGAACAATGGGGTTTTAACGTGGTAATAATCGAAACACAATTCTACAGAATCTACTGGGGTGTATTTGAGATCATCTCGAAAAGCTGAGGAAGGTGGAATAAAGTGTTTCTTTTGAATATTTAACTTCTAATATTACTATCAATATGGACGTGTAATATCGTATCGAGGATAGGGGTAAAGAGGCCTGAAGACCTTCCCAACCTCTGGACTTTGCCTGCCTTTACACCAAGTGTGCTCACGGTGTAAAATCTCTATCCCTTTGACCTTTTTTTGTTATTGATTTTTCAGTAATTGATTAATGATAATGACACGTGTAATAAAGTAATGAAAGTATTTTTACCACATAACCACGGGTCGATTAACGTTAATATGTTGTTATTTTATTAATAACAATAATAACGTAATATATATTCTACACAATTATTATCTTTATAGTTTATACACGATTAATTATGTTATTTTAGCCAACAAACTCCAGTGGTTTAATCTGAGAAAATAATAATTTTTTTTTTTTATATAATATTTGTCGACAACAGTCAAAAATGTATATCCTCCCTCTTTAAAAAAAAAATCTGATTACATCACTGATCAGAAGATATCAGTAGTTGATCGCTTACCGTATGCTTGGTGATCGCGATCTTTGTTGTCTATAACCGGGGTGTAAGTGCATACCCTGGTGTTGAGGCTGTTGCCCGTCGGAATTAGAATCTTCAGACGGTCTTCGCGATGAAATCACCACGTCTGTCAGCTCCATCACCTGTAAATCGCCCATGCACTAGTGTATAAATATACTGTTCTTTTGTGTATACGGCGTTTACGGACGTTAATACGAATAATATTCATATATAATATTATATAATCCATATAATAGTATATTGTATTATTACGTATTAGCGGCAGTTTATTATGTTATGCTAGTATTTATAAATAATAATGTTTATTTTATTTACATGTGTTATATTATAATGTTATGGGAATGTTGTCGGAAAATTAAAACAAAAAATAATGAAATAATAATGATAAAAATAATAATAATAATAGTAATTTTAATAACAAAATAGATAAAAAAAAAAAAAAACGATACAAAAACCTGGTGTATAATAATAATTAAGTTATGAAAAACAGAAAAAAAATAAAAAATAAAAAATAATAATCTCTTTTCTCGATTAAATCCGAAAATGAATACTTTATTAATGTACTCGGCAGTTTTTTACCGGTAGTATTTACTGAACAAATAAAGGACGAGTCCTGCATTCCGAAAAACAGCTATCCCGGTAGTAGGGTATAGTGTAATCGGGGTTTTTTCTTCATGTGGACTACAGTAAAAAAAAAGTATACAAAAATAAATTAAAAGAAATAAGTATAAGGTAGTGTGGTTAAATTGTATATGTCATTTATTAAATTTCGTGAGGAAATCAAAAAAAAAAACGAAAATGGCGGGAGTCATTTAAAATTATTTCACCAACTGACCACAGTTCTATGTATATATAATATGTATAATGTTAATAATGAAAAAAGTGGATAAGATGTTGAAAAGTGCATGCAAATTTTGCGCCACATGCATCGTGCAAAATTAATGTCTATAAATATTATAAATATAATAATAGTTAGAAATACATGTATATATATATAACATAATTATTAACATATTAATCAATTGTATACATCTATCCTGGTATAATATTATAACAACGGACAAATAGTCCGTCCAACACTAAATAATAATATTTAGTATACGATAGAATAACAATAACAATACCTAATAATAATAATAATATAATATTACCTTAATGGTATACCTACCTAAATTAAAAATATATATTTTTATGCTACATAACAATTATACCCTTATCAAGTCAACAAATAATAATAGTAATAATAATAATAATAATAATAATAACAATAATTATAATAGTAATAAATCATTCTAAATTATCTAAACTCTCTATAAATATTTAATATGTCGTTTCCAATTTAACGAAGGGTCGCAAAGAGAGTGTATAATATATATGAATATATACTCACACACAAATATTTGTTATGTATATATATATGTGTGTTTGTGTGTGTATGTGTGTGTGTTTGTGTGTGTATGTATGTGGACGAATGCATGTGTGTGTGTGTATATAACATATATGCATATACTTAAGAGAGAGTTCCATCAAGTGACTAGAGTCTATGCAACCACACAAAAAAGGTCTAAATATATGTATTATAAAAACCCACAGTTTCCGAAAAAAGTCGAAATTCAAGAGTTCTACGTAAACGAAATACAAAAATATAGCAACATATAATTTTATTTTATATTATTATTTATAATATAAATCAACCAAGGAGTAAAAAAACACAACGTATCTATTTCTCTGGGAGAGTTAATTAAATCTCAAACCATCAAAGTATACCTTTTCTAAAATATCGCCACGTCTCCTCCTCAAACGTTTGGATTGCGTTATATACCGCTGAAAATACACAAACACAAAACCGTTTTACACACAGATTGTAGTCACTTGACACAATTAAACATTTTGGCACTTGTGGAATCGATATTATCACTTAATTATATTATAATATTATTTTATTATCATGTTGTAAGTGCGTATAACATATTATTGTTAATATATTATTAAATTATGTACATACGTTGAACCATAAAAAATAATTTCTTGTTTTCAGGTATTTTTGATGTTTATAGAAGAATGGTACTTTTACGTATGTATAAATAATAAATACTAAATGTATTCTATAAAATATTGTATGCATTAGTAATAATAATAGCCTACAGACATTATTAATCATCTTGCAAGTCTTGTCGTTGTGCGTTCTAGACTTAAAATATATAAAACGGGACAGGGAAAACTCTCTAGGGGTCGGGTTGACGTATTCATGAGTAAATATTACTTGGTCATACGGTCATCACCTTTTTAGACCTGAAACAAATAAAACCATTCGTCACTGATACATTAGACAGCTAAGTTAGAAACGCCACCGGGGTCGGCAAGCAAACGAATACCCGACATTATTAAACATTCCATTTACCAAAATAATATTGTAATCATTATGTGTTGATTGGCTCAATAAATTGTAATTTGTTCTTATTTTTATAATAAAAAAAATTCAAAGTACCTATTTTATTCATTTAGTATAATTATTATTACAGACATTACAGTTATTGATGATTTGAACTCATGAGATTTATCATAATACTGATGAATCGTAACATTTACTTCAGAATGTTTTTAAAAATAATTTAATTTTGTTAAATCAAAAATTAATTATTATAATCGGAAATTGGAATGTAATGATTTTTTTAATGCCGTGTTGTTTACGAATGCAATGTTTCTTTCTAATTATTACCGGCTCCTGGAATTGTTCCTAGTCAGCAAACAGCTGTTTTCGTCTTCGTCTTGTCCACGTTCTGCGTTCCAATTTGTCGCACCAGCAGCCTCCATCAGGCATGTGAAGAATGATGAGTGCTGTTTGAAATTTTTACATAATAATGTTTTATAGAAAAAAGATAGTATAAAGATAAAATAGTTAACTAGAAATGGAAAAAACAATAAAAAAATTAGCAAAAAATTACATATAGTAGCTTGTTAGAAGTGCATCAGTGTGCAACTATAGTTTTGTATAGCCTAACCACCACCACATCTCCCTAAAAAAAGAAGCTTTGTATGTATATTTTTTTTTTATACGAAGATGTTGTACGAAGCTTTATCATCAAGCGGGTGTTATGTATAAGCTTAAAAACAGAAATAATAATTTATTTTACTTTTTATTTTCAAATCTCACGATTTATTGTTTTCTTTCTTTCTTTCTTTCATTTTTTTTATATATATATATATATATATATATAGTATGATTAATTTTCTTAGTTTTATATTGTTGTCATTTAAATAAAAGGAAAAATAAATATAAATAACAAATCATTGCATTATAATGTATAATATATTCTAACTACACATTCACATGTATCTATAATACACTAAAATTTTAATAATACACAATATAAATCCGTGCAACTAAAAAAAATACTGTGGAATTACTTTCTAAGAATGCAGGTACTGAAAAACACGATACAAAAAAATAATTCTAATTCTAAGTCGATAAACTAATGTATAGTATTTTGTAAGTGTAGAAGTATGTATTAAAAAATGTATAAAAAATATATGCGATATTATAAAAAAATATTATGATGAAGTATGCTAATAGACATATAATAATATTATTGAGTGGATATGAAATAAATATATATATATATAAATAAATGAGTAAAAATACGTCTATGTAATCCGCTCTAAAGTATATATATAAATATATATATATATACTGATCTGTTTAGAGATTCGTGCTTATACATGACTGTTAAGTAGTTAAAACTGAATCTATTAAAATAGAAGTACAAAAAAAAAAAAAAAAAAAATGAAAAATTAGATACAAATAGTATATAATAATATAAATATAAATGTTTAGCACTATTTAAAAGAATCTAATATAGCCAGCTGAACTGTGGTCTAATAGACGAACAAAAATATGTTTATATGTATACACGTACGTTACCTATAGTCTAGAATAAATAAAGTTAGGTAAAATATATAAATATATAAATGTATATTATATATATATTACATATATATGTATATATTATTAAAAAAGGGTGTTATAGTAATAAATATGTTTCAGGTAACTCGGGTTTTTGTGCTTATAAAAGGACAAGGACTTGAACAAATAAGTTGAAATTAAAAGTAATAAACAATATAAAAATAATAAAACCATAAAATAAATAAACAAACAAAACAATAAAAGTTTTGAAAAATAACAAATTAAAGTTAACTATAAATCGTGATTGAACTAGAATAATTAATGAAAAACGTAAATATAGACAGTTAGACAAAAATAATATTATGAACATATATTATGTTAGTTGTATCAAAACACAAGACAAAACGTTGCGAGATAAAGATTATTTTGATCTACATAAAATTATATTATAGAGATAGATGTATTATGTATAGCTCCGTCAATGCGTAATATTAATATAACTTTGAATTTTTAATATTTTTCTAAATAAAATGTTTATAAATTAATAAAGCTTTCAATATTATTTTGATCTGATTATAGCAAAATGTATAGTCTTATGATGCGGTTATAAAGTTTAGCAACGTTTCATCTTGGTGCCTACGTATTATTATGACGAATTAACATGATAATTCAACGACACGAAACTGTACAATGAAAAATGAAATTTAAAATAAATAATAATAGAATAAATATAAATACAAAAACATAAAACAATAAATAAATAAATAAATAAATAAAAATAAAAACAATGAAATAAAAAAAAAATGAAACTAATGATTTAAAATAATAATAATAATAATACATTTATATATAAAAATAATTGAATAAACTCAAATAAATACTACCGGCTCTGGGGAACTATGTTCTGCAATGTCCTGAAAGCAAACACATAAATATAAACTGTCTCTATGTCGACTGTTCTCAATTTCCATTTACTAAGTAAATTCGTTCACCCTTTTTCCATGCTCTAAACAAATATTGTGTTCTACGAATATTCTAAACCTAAAAACATCAACAGTGTTCCACGATTTTTATGCCTAAAAAAATTTCACCTAACCTTCAATATTCTCCACACATTGACAAATTATTTTGTGCACATACTACACTAATCAATGACATTATATATATACCTACTTCACTGACTATAATCACCTATCTACTAAAAAACTGTATTATATATCAAATATATTGTAATATATTATGTTTAAAGCTATAAAAAAATTAATTAAAAATAATAAAAATGAAAACGATAAACCAACAACACTTTTATTTGTGTTAAACATTTCAACTAAACTCTTACTATTACGCTCATATTATATTAAAAATCAATCAGTTTTGTTTATTTTTTATATATATATATACGTATATATTCCAAGGTTTTTTTTTAAGTTAGGGTCTTACAACACAAAACAAAAAACAAAACAATAAATTAAACAAAAACATATCGTCAAACATGTGTGAACGTGTAAAAGCAAAACGTGTATTTTTTTTTGTGTTCACAAAGCTCAATGTTGTAACTTTTTACAAAAATAAATTTAGTAACCTCGTTATACACCCAAAGTATGAAAACAATTTTGTGGTGGTTTTTTTTTTTTTTTTTATTATTATTATTATCATTGTTAATTTATATTTATTTATTTTTTGTAATTATCTTCAAATTTTCCCATATTGTGTAAATTATAATTTATGAAGCGGAAATAGATCTATAGTGAAAATTATTCACTTGCACACAACATTGATTTTTGAACCATCATTATAACAGTAAAAACAAAAACAAAAAAAAACAAAAACAAAAAAAAAAAACAACAGAACATAAACAATCTGAAATTAAATAATTGTGCATGCGCTGTACACCAACCAATAACAATAATAATCGTTTCACCAAAACACATTAATGGAAAACATTGTAATAGGTCCAAGGAAAATAAACACGCATCGATATAATAACAGTTCACAACACAAATAATATGTATATATATGTGTATATATGACAATTTGTAAAAAAATCAGGGGTAACAGCACTCAAACAATAAATAAAAAACACAACCGACTTCAACGTACATAAAATTATGTATATGCATATATATATTTTTTGATTTTTAGAGTTTTTTTTGTAAAATTTCCTAACGTTTTTATCGTGTGATTATGTATGAACTATGATAATATGTTTATTTGTCCATCCTACAATATCCTTGTGTTTTTGGTTTTTTAATGATATCTAATATTTTTTAAACCTCTTTCATTGATATAATATTGTTTTAACTTGGATTATTAAATGTATATTTTTTAAACTGTATATTTAATATTTACTATAGATATTAAATATAAATGTATTACCTGTGGATTCGACGATTCGACCTGACCGAATCTCGTGGACTTCCAACTCTCTAAAATCAACAAACCCGCGTATATCTTGCCTACCGTCAGTTTTCCTGCGTTCAGACCTATATAATTAGGTGAAAAATATTTATTTATTTTTTATAAAATGTACTCTGCGTCAAAAAACCCACAATCGCTTTTTGGAACAAGTAGGTCCAAAATCTTTCTGGCCTGTAACGGCCATATATGTCTAATAGTCTCTCTCAATTCCTCGTCTGCCTGGTCCATTTCTTCGGCTGCAAAACAAAAATATATTGACTTATACTATTGTGATACTTGATTTGATAGATTACATAATATTGTAAAGATTCTTATCAACAATACAAAAAACATTATAATCACGTACCACATCGCATTTTTATACTCAAATTTTCCCGAATGAGCGCGAATAGCGTTGTAGTGAACTGCACTTTGCCATCCTGATCGACCGGCATGTTCATCCGGATGAGTTTTTTGTATGCCAAACGATTGGGACACTTGTTGCCAAAACCCAATGGTGGGTCGATGTTTTTAAGCATATCGTACATTTCGGTATAGTGTATTTTTCCCCTGCGGTGCGCATTTCATGTTACTAATAGTTCATCTTGTTTCTATATAATTATTATCATCAGGACTTAGAACTAAATGTACTAAAAGATCATAAAATATGCATGTTGTCGTCACTCATGCATCACACGAAACTAAGGAATTGATGAAATTTGCATTAAAAACGTAAGTTGTGGTCCAACAGTCAGATATGTCAAAATAGACTTATTGGATTATTAGTAAAGTTGTGTTTAAATTTGAAATTATTTGAACGTAAAAACACATTGAAAAATACACTTTTTATATTAAATTAAAAAACTATAAAATAACCGTAAAAAATACATTTTGTAACTCAAAAATATAAATAAAAAAAAAAACAGATGTTGTTTCTATTTTTATTTATGTACTTAATGCACTATATTTCTAAAGTATTTAAAATAAATTTTGTATTTAGTATGGTTATGTTAAGCGTTATATATAAAATATTAAATTCTCTGCCCTGATTCTTATAATAATAAGATATTATATGATTACGTGGCATTTGGGTCGTATTCTGCCCAGATCCGAACGAATTCATCCAGGTGATGGGCTCCTAGAATTGACGAGTCTCTGGTTAGGTAATCAAAGTTATCCATGATAACTGCTACAAACAAGTTCAACATCTGCAGTACATACAAGTAAAATTATTAATAAATTAATAAACACAAATTAATTAATTAATTAATAATATAAATTAATTTTTTATAAATCATATATTGTAGTAGTCGTCTTAAGCAAAATTGTTCATCGTATTATATTATGATTGTAACCAATGACGAACGCGTCGATACGTATATAATCGTCAAGGATTAATTAGATGTGCTTACCAAAAACGAGCAGAAAAATATGAATGACACAAAATACATGTAGGCCATATTTGAACCACAATCGTTATCCACCTTTTTAGCACCGGCTTCACACATTTTCCCGTGATTGCACGACAACATGATCGACGGCCACGCTTCGCCCGTGGCGCATCTGTAAAATTGAAACGCGTTGTAACATATTCAATGATCAATAGTTTCTTACATTCTTACAATGTTTTTGTATATACCGCTTATGGTTAATACAGAGAAAGGTGCTATAAGCGGCGTATTGTGTCAATAACGTTTAACAATAAATCAAATTTAAATAAAATTCATTTCAAAATTTCAGTAACCTTTAAAGTTTAAATTAATGAATTTAGAGTTCTTTAATTAATTACTGCAAAACGCACGAATTAAAAGTTTCGTTGTTATATTATTTAATTGTAATTACGACGCGCACATAGAAAAATAATAAAATATATGATTTCGGAGGGAACGGATTGACGAATATTCAATAGTATTACAATAATATAGTGGTATATATCATAATGATATAATAATTACCGAAACAACAGCATCAGACCCTGGACAAACGTTTGGAAATTGTTGTGCCTGTTGATTTCTGTGTTAGGATCCAGCTGGATGTTGCCGAAAATTTGCATTCCGATGATAGCATATATGAAGAACAACATGCCAATTAATAGGCATACGTAGGGCAAGGCCTATAGTAAAAAAATTGGTTAGAGATCGCCGTTTATCATAGGCGCCATGAACAGAGGAGCGACTGGATAGTGTGCATAAATAAAGTAAAACACGATATTAGTGTATACGTACTTTGAACGACTGGACGAACGTCCAGAGCAAAATCCTTATCGTGTACCCTTGCCGGAGCAGTTTTATCAGTCTGGCGGCTCGAAAGAGCCGAAGGAATCCAACGTTTATAAAATTTTCCTGCAACAACAGGTTTTCGTTTACCACACATGATGCAAAACGGTGCAAAAAGGACCCCACCTGATGACGATATAATATCATGTAGGATATTCTCGCGCGCCGATAAAATAATATACAATTATACTTATAATATAATATAGATAATTTAACCTAGATATTATATTTCGTAAAATTATATATTTAAGCTCAACAAAATAATTAATCACGTTTATACGCATCATCACACGAACTAGAGTGTATTCAAACGTAAAGCTCAACGTTAACGGAGGCAGCGGAATTGTGTGCGACACAATTGGATCTTATGTGTGTTATTATATTATACAGCTAGGATGATCTATTTACATGGCGTTACGTCATATTTTCTAAGTTATTTTTTAATTTAAAAAAAATTATTTAAATTTATAAGTATATCTATCTATAACAGTTATATTTACAAAAAAATAACAGATATATTTTTATATTTTATTTTACTACTTATTTATTGTAGTTACTTAGGTAATTTTAAATTTTTAAATATTTTTAATTGAAAATTTTTATAAATATTAAATTTTATAATCAAAAGAAAAATTAATACAAATATTTGTGTTCAATATTCTATATTTAAACATTGAATTGTTCAGAAAAGCATTTTATCTGTAAAGATAAAATAAAATATCATTGTTATAGAAAATTATAGTTTTTTGTAAAAACATACTTTTAGGTGTAACTTATATAACTTATATGAACATATCTTTTTTTTTCACTTAAAATTATTGTTGCCAATTAAACAAATCACTCCGTAAATGCGTATAATATAATATAATATATTTATATATTAAAATACTATGGAGTATGTATGATATAATATGTATAATAATAAAAATATGTTTTTGTGATGGATTATTATTATATTATTATCGGCGCGGTAATCGTGCGTAAAAGGCTCAAAACAACAGTCTAAATCATATCGCGCAAACCTATTATATTTTGCAGTGGTGTATTTGAGCCTGGTAAGAGAGATGGCAATTACGATTTTTCTTTACGACTCTTAAATATTGTGTGCAGTGAATATTGTTAACATTTAATATTAGTCGTTTTTTAATTTGGTTTTTAACACAAATTTTTATTTTTTATTTCAATTGATGGTAATATTGGAAATCTGCGAATACTATTATTATATTTACATAATATTATAAATAAAATAAGTAAAAGAACAAAGTTCCATCCACCTTCAACACATTTCTCAATTACCATCTCTCTAACCAATCAATTACATTACTACAATACACAAATCACTTAAACGATGCAAATCCAGGTACAAACAGTCACATCGTGCTCGGAATATATAGTTAACATACTGCGCAATGGCTCATAATTATTATTGTACAAGTTTCTTTGGCATCAAATATTTTTCTGGCAACAGTCATTCAAAATATTAAAACGCCGCGACGACGGTAAAAATTAAAAAAAAAAAAAAACTGATTACACTGATTGTGTATCAGTAAAATATTAAGGATATACGGACGGTGCGACAAGTGCAATATTTTACCGTTTGGAGATAAATTAACGGAATCAAGTGTAATATATTAGTGTAAAAGTATATTTAATCGTTGTCTAATATCAGCAGAGTGGGTGGTAGCGTTACACTCTGCAAAAAATGGATATTAGTTCGTCACACCGTGAAAAAAAAAAATAATAATTAACGAAAACTCAAAAATGACACGCACAAAGAATCGATTTCACGGAAGTTAAAGTGATTAGTTTTCGTCTAAACGCAAATACCAATAGTATGATTGCTTTTTGCACGCGCGTAATAAGTATATTAAAGTTACAAAAAAGTGTAATATATAATAATATGATTTTCGCACAGAAAAATAGATCTGTACACATTAGGTAGTGTGTCAAGCGTCAGCATCGAAATTGCGGCAGCGATGGCGGCGGCAATATAATATTGTGAATTTTTGTATAGCAATGGCGGCGGCGAAATTTGAACAGTAATACAATAATATTATAGCATCAGCAACAGCATCAGAGAAACATATAAAATATATTACACATCGATACAACACATAACATACCATGATTTACGCAAGCTTGAGGCGCGGCGGACGAGTCGTCCGTCGGTCGAATTGTGTCGTTTTATACGATTATTTTATAATATTATATAACAATTAATACAATATAATATAATATATACACATACGCAGCGGACGCGGAGGATTTCGCAGCTGTAGCAATGTTGTGACCGTTTTCAAGAACCCGCGGATCATTCGATAGCGATGAACACGTAACAATTGATATAATAATATAAATAATATCGCGACCGCAATGAGTATGATTGAGTATGATGTATATGCCCCCGTTGCGATCGAATTTAGGGGAAGGCACATGCCCCTCTCATTGGTAATATTGTAGTATGTAGTATTAATGAAATATATGAATAATGAGCGTGTATATTATAATGTTTGGCAGTTGATTTTTTTTTTCTAACACTAATCTTACACCATAATGCGTACGGCGCCGTCGGTGTCCAGAGCTCCTAGAAAATTCGGCACGAACATTGCAGACATGCTACGACCTCTACGTCTGAATTGCAAAAATATATACTCAATACCGGTGAAAACTATCGAAAATGGTGATTTAAAAACACATATATATATATATAATATATAACTATTCTAAATCAATATATTCCAACAAAAACTAAATAACATATTATTTTAATATATATATATTGGTGGTATACATATAATTATTATAATATAATAATATAAATAAACGCGAAATAGAAATTTTTAAAAATAAAAAATATAAATAAATTGATATTAACGAAACAAAAAAACCTTCGTCCACGTTCCGGATACTCGGGTTTTTGTTAATGAGAATTTAATATTTTTACAAGTTTCGAAATTTTTTAGAAAACTTTTTTGTTATTTGTACTTGTTTTCTATACATAACCTATAACTAATTTCCACAAGAAATATTTAACAATGAACATTTATTTATGGTTTAATCTCAAATTATTGAAATTTTTTATTTTTGTTTTCTTTAATATATAAAGGGGATCAAAAATGTAGAATATATATATTTTCTATATGTGAAATATGGATATTTTTTTTTTTTTTTTTGAATTCGTGTAAAAGATACAAATTCAATTATTTAAATTGAAAATATGTATAAGAGTCTCATAATAATTCTTTAGTAACTGATATTGTATAATACTTCATTAGTCGTTATTTTCTATTTTATGATATCGATGTCACTTGTTATTAAACTATTTTAGGCACTTATAACGTAATGCAATTTACTGATACACTTAACTAATGTAATGCATTTATATGTATCATTAATAAAAATTAGTTTATAAAAAATATATGTAAATTATAATAACATCGAAAAATAGCTAGTGAGCAATTTAAAAAGCATAAAACATCCATTATACTATAAAAATTCAATAACTTGCAGTGGATATAACTATTGTATAATATTATTCATAAACCTAAGCGCCGATATAGAACATAATTATTAGCCAGAGAAAACTCTAGAAAAGCTTCTTGCAAACTTAATAGACTTGAATAAAATATATTTATATACTTTTTAAAAATTTAATTCGTGATGAAAAAATTTATTTAAAATACAATTATTCTCTAAGCATTGAAAGTTGAAACGTAATAATATCCTATCCAAAATAATGAATACATTATATTTTAAGCGATTTTATTAAAATTATTATTAGTATATTAACAATGAAAACAAAGGAAATTAAAAAAATATATATTTAATAATATTATTATATTTTCTATACTGTAATACCTATAAAAAATTGTATTATTATCTTCGAACGCTATATTGTGTTACAAAATACTCTACAAACAATAATAATGGTAACTACAATCATTATTAATTATTATATTATTAATATTTAAAGGTTAATATTAGACTAATGCTATAATGTAATAATATGCTAGTCATGATGTGTTTCTATGTGTATAATAGATATATTACTACGATACTGAATAATTATTGTACTTTGGGTACCCACTATAAAACTAATAATGCATTAGATTTAATAATATATTATATGATGGTAAAATTAGTAGTTATACAATAATATAATAATATTAGGTAGGAATAAAAACATCGATGTACTTGTTACATTTTTTCTTGTCGAATGATGTAGGTATCGTTAATTATAATATAGGGTCAAATAAGATATTTTGTACTACTATATAGTATACGTAAAATAACTATGATATATTCACAATATTAAAAAAATATTATAATATTGTAAATACACACCAAAAATCCGAGTAACCCTTAGTGGATTATTAATTGTTTTCAGGTTTCCGTACACGAAATTATAATAATTATTTGTACTGGATTTAATAGGCAAAATTGAACAAAAAATAAATAGTAACAGTTATTACAAAAATGTATAAACGAAATTTAAGCACGATATTATTAATTAAATATTTTAGAAACCTGGATAAACGTTTACAACTGTATGTTGGTGATTTTCAAATAAGTCTTCCAAATAATTTATGTGTATGAAAAAGAACAGTACATAAAGTATTGAATACATTATTTCTAGTTTTAATTGTAAACAAATATTGTGTTGAATATCATAACACGGCGTAATCGTTACACACAATACATATCGAGTAAGATTTTTAACAACTATTCTCTAAATAAGTTTCATAACGTGAGTATATATAAATACATACATATATATATATATATATATATATATTCGCTTGCTGCTTAATAAAGAGCAATTTAATTGTACTGCATAGTAAATATGCATAGTAAATAAACATGTATATAATATATTTTTTTTTTAAATAAATAATGAAATAAAAAATGAAAATCCATGTCCAAAAGACCAAAAAAAAAAAACAAAAAATTACAAAAGACACATTCTTCAACAGTATACAAGTGCGGTCTACGTCGGATGCAACAAATTGGCGTACTCCTGATGTTTTAAATATAAAATTTACCTCCACAATTTCTCCGAACAGTAGTTTTGGTCCTTTGTTAGAAACACTCTCGAACAGAGTTCGGTACAGATAAACGAGGCGTTCCTATACAAGAGTAAACATGTTACAAATTCCTGTCTGATGTACCTATATGGTTTTTTTTATTTTTATTTTTTTTTTTTAAGAGTTTTGATAAAATCAATCTTAATTCAACGTATGTTTGTATTAATAATACGGTTAAATATAATTTCGTATTCTCCAGGCTGGTTTTTTCCAACAATTTTATTCTAGACCTATTATTTTTTTGATAAAAATATGATGTTAAGAAAATTTGTATTGTATCTGTAATCTGTATATACTATTTTTTTTTTGTTTATAGTTCCGACATAAGCTATTAAAACGGGTTCAAAAAGTACTTCATAGGTATATTTTAATACTATATTTGGAAGCTCTAAGTTATGCTATGGAAGGTTAATTTAATATAATGCAATATTGAGGGATGAAATCGGTAATGTAACAGTTGGTTAACTATAATATTTTCGAAAAAAAAAGGTGAATAGCATAACTATACAAAGCATGTGCAGCGATGGACAGAAAAATTCATATTAAAGGAAGTTAACACAATAAAGAAATCACATAAAGAAATCGCTAAAAATAATATGTATTATAATATATAGCTATGTAAATTTGATTTCTTAACAATAACAATCTATATAATATCATATTTTGTCGCTTCATAAAATGGTGACACCACCTATTTCAGTTTTCGTAACTTTTGCAGTAGTTCAGAAAAATCTATTCCTCTGAAGTTGATATATTATAGTACTCTTATGAGTTAAACACAATTCGATTAAAATGTGAGATAAATGGTTTTGACTCTTCAGTGATGATTTATATTATTTATCAGCTATAAAATAATATGTTATTAAACGTAGGAGAGCAACAATAAGTGAATACACTTGCATCCAGAACTTAATTATAAAAGTAAAATACATAATTATACTATTATTAATTGATATATATGTATATATATATATATATAAGAACACGCAGCTGCTAAAATTTTTATAAATTCCTACATCGTTTAAAATATCTTACCCCAAATTCGATAACCAGTGCGTCCACGATACTTCCGATGACCGTGATAAAGTCGAAAATATTCCATGGGTCTTTAAAAAAATTCTGAAAACCATTTCATTAAACAAAAAACGTCTTTAAGTTAGACATTTCCATATTTATAATATTTATATTGTATTATTATTATTTGGTTAAATTGTATACGCATGCTTTCCATTGGAATTACTATAGGAGGATGTGGTATACGTATATTCGCACAAGACAGTAAAAAAAAAAAATTAAAAAAAAATAGAAATATTAGGAACATAATTTTTTTAAACCGTAGGTTTATAAATAATAATAATCAATTATTTTTATAATGTTATGTATTATCAAAATGTATAAGATTATAATTATGGTTAATTGTGAACAATTTTACCTTGCATCCAAACGCGATGAGTTTTAAGACACATTCTACCAGGAATAGCGTCGTCAATAAGTGATTGAGGTTCAGTAGAACATCATTAAGTTGATTCGATTCGCGATGGTGCTGCAGCCACGAAATAAACAACCAAATAAAAGCAATGTTTTAATTACACAAGCAACTATTTTAATCACTTCGGTTAGTAATATTGTATCTAATAATAAAACGCCGGTACTATTAAAAAAATAAATCTAATTTGTATAACCTATACATAATATAATAACAACCGATAGGTGTCTTTAAGTTAAAGGTAAATTTAAAAACAGTTGAAGTAATATCATTTTTAGCATTAATTTTGAAAATAAAATTAATAGCCAAGTTATTAAACTATTATTATATTATCATGTGTGTTATGTTGAATGTCTAAGACATTCAGAAGAAATTTAGAAATACTAATCTGTAACGAAACCTAACTATAATAATACTATAATGTGTACTATTTTATAGCTGTATGTTTGATATGTGTAATATAACATCATGGTGATGAAAACATTATGTACTATCGTATTTATGATTCCGTATGAAGAAATGTTGAATCTAAATCATAACTCAAAACTAGACATAAAACGGTTTAATATACAACGAAGACCGCGCACGCGCCATAATTTTGCAGCTTATGAAAAATGAGTAGGTAAAAGAGAAAAGTAATAAAAATTAATAATAATATAATATTTAATTCTAAATTCTATTACATTAGAATCTAATTAGAAAAATAAATTAACAATTAAAATAGTTTTGGCATGCAAAATAACATTCGAAATGCAAGACACAAGCGGACATAAATAAGGTATTAAATACACACACGCATAAACAAAAAAAAAAATCATGCTTGTCCGTGTATATAAAGAAAAATCACTTAAATATTGCATCAGGTAGTATGTGTCTATAAAACTCATGTCATACTTTTTTAGTATAATCCATAAGACCACTTACCTTACACACATTGTATGATATATCTGTGTTGTATAATATCATGTATATGTGCATTACAGTATTGTACACAGTATTTTAGTAGATTGTTAATTTTAAACATTAATTTTATAGGGTTATTTCCGAACATAGAGTCCGTTAAATTAATAAGTACGATTAAACAGTTTTTATTCGGAAGAGTAAATTCAATGGAAAGCATATAATCAACATAATTCATAATAATAATAATATTTTTTTTAAATCAAAATTCGTAAAATGATTTAAAACAGAATAATTTAACATACAAAAATTCAAATTATTATATATTATGTAAAATTACAATAAATAATATAATATATATGTATACATATATATATATATATAATGATATATATTATTATTTAATTCTAGACAATATTATAATATTAATTTATTGGTCATTACTACTTGGCATGTGTTCTCTTACCCTGACTCCAAACGCCAAAATTTTGAGCACGCACTCAATGGTAAACATGCCAGTAAACACCATGTTCATGTAATGTAGAGCAGCCTTGTAGGATTTTTTTTGTTGATAAAACTATAAAAATTAATAAAAAAAACAATGATCAACCATAATAAAAAAATAAAAATACAAGAAAGAAAGACAGAAAGAAAGAAAAAAAGAAAGCAAGAAAGAAATAAAGAAGAACATTAATTGCTTTGATAGCCAACTAAATATAAAAATAATAACATTTAACAAATGTTAAATATTAATACATTATTATAACCTTCTTTTATCATATGAAATCAGTAAAATAATTTATGCATGATAAAAATTACTCAAAATTATTTATTTAAATAAAACATAATGATAAATTAGCTGAGAATAAAATGAAAAAAATTACAATATAAAATGTAGGGGCGCGCTTAATTAAATAAAGTAAATAGTTATTAATTCTTTTTTTTTAAATTATTATTTGTAGTAGTAGACGTTGAAAGCAAAAGCTATGTGGAATAATAAAGAAAAAGATAAACACCCGAAAGTAAAAAAAATTTCCAAAAAATTGAAACCATGATGTGTGTGATTTTGACTGCAAAAAAGAGTGATAAGCTCAAGCAAATTGAACATGCAATAAAATACGTAGTGTTATTGTTCCAAAAATGTCATAAATTTAAGTACAATAATTACAAACGATAAGTTTGCAACAAAACGTATAGTAATTAATATGATATTTTTGTAACGATACGGTTAACAGTTCATTCGTAATTTTATATTGTTTTCGTCAATTATTTTCAAATATACACAGTGTAGAATTATAATCGATAGTATTTAGCGTGTAAATTTATTCTCGTCGAAATTAATAACAATAATAGTAATAAACAAGTTCAGCGTTCATCCGACGATACAGAAATATTACAAGTACGAATTTTTTTCTTATATACTTATATTGTATACACCTTTATGAAGAAACGCGTTATCGACACCAACGAGACTTACCTTCATCATAAGCAATAGCGTGTTAAATACGATCAGTATCATGATGAAATATTCAAATGGCGTCGACACTACCAGGCGCCAAATCTTATATTTCATACTGTTCCTGTCTTTTGGCATGTACCTCTCCAGTGGTCTAGCTTGTATGGTAAAATCAATACATGATTTCTGAAACAGACGTGATCATTCATCATCATTTATATTAATCATTAATGCCATCATTGGTTGATATTGCCACCAGTGCGGTGCTCGATGAAAATTATAGTAGAAGGAAATTCGTATACACTTCTCTTTGTAGAACATATCGTTTTAAACACTCTCCTAAATTGATTGTTTTTTTTTCTATTTAGAAAAAAATCATGTTTTCAAAAGTTTGTCAAAAGGTGGTTATTTTAAAAATTTACCATATTTAAAGTGTAATAGGCAATGAAAAAAATTTGGAAACTCTATACTGCAGATATAAATTGTATATTTATGAATACCATAGGTCTACGAAAAATGGTGACGCGAAAAGACGTTTGAAGTTCATCGAAATTATTAAATTAACACGATATTTTATGACATATGAGTTGTCACAAAAAATGGTCAATACATAATTTTTTTTTATAAATTTAAATTAAATTATATCTTTGTCTATAAAATAAATAAAAACAATACATTTCGTATAATTATGTAAATGCATATGATTAATGCAATACTATTATAATTTATAGTTTAAACTTTAGTCTAATCATGTTATGTTATTACGTATTTTTATTTTGCTCAAAAGTTTTTTTGTTTGTTGAATATATCTGGGAAATATTAAACTATTATTTAAAATATAATTATTCGCTTATTCAAAACAAATAGAATAATATTATGCCTACTACATTGTTTTACTTGTCGGGACAAATGGGTGTTAAGACTCATAATCACACTTAAATATTCTGTACTTTATACCATTTTTAGTGAAATTAGTAGAAAGGTGTTTGGACGAGACTACATAGTTAAATCTTTAATGAATCGTTTAAAATATTCATAAAAGCCATAAAGGTTATCTTAATATTTATCATTATAGTAATAGCAGGTACTAATATGAGATACTTCCTAGGTACCTGGTTTTTATCAATTTCACCGTCTTGTAGTTCGGCTTCTCCCTGTTCTTGAAACGTAATAATGATTAACGCGACGAATATATTGACGAAGAAGAAAGGAAACACGATAAAATAAATTATGTAGAACAACGATCTTTCGATGTGGTAATTCGGTATGGGTCCGTGGTCCTCTTCCGTGGCCGCTATCGAATTTTGCAGCACTCTATTGAAAAAAAAAATAATTCTCGTCAGTTTATTTTATAATTTATTTTTATAACAATTATGTGAATTACGATATGTATTATTTATAACTAGAGCTTATTTTCGTGTACATATTCTTTTATATCTTGTATTTTTAAACTTTTAAGGATTATATAATATGGAGTTCATAATTTACTATTTTGTAACGTTTCGTCGATAAATTGTTGACATTTGTGATTGTGCCATTCTCAAAGGACGAATTAATCAAATATTAATGTTAGCTATAATATCGTAAGTTTCAAACTTCATTAATATTTATTTATTTATTTTTACCAGAAATCTTCTATGAATGGACATAAAAATTATATTATTTAAATCTATTTTTTATTTTATAATCATATTGTACAATATTTAAATTATTGTAAATTAGTTAAATAACGTAGCCACGAAAATGCTCAAAAGTCCTTGCTCAATTTATAATTTGCATCACAAATCGAGTATGAACTCACTGGGGCCATCCTTCGCCTGTTTGGACGGCAAATAGTGTCAACATAGCCACAGCCACGTTGTCGTAGTAGAAATCCTGTTTATCCCATGCTCTCTTCTCCGAGGTTGGTATGAACTTTTGCGAATTCACATCTTCCGTGTCTCCAGCTTCGTATTTGAAATAATAACCCCTGGAAATAATGGATAACTATCATTAGTACACCATCTCCTAAATTGAACGTTTAAAAAGTTATCAATACTGTAGATAGCCGACTTAAAACCAATAAAATATTCGTTTTCTATTATAATATTATAAACGGTTGATAAAATAAAACATTGATATTTGCGAATTCTTACTATTTAATTAGATTCGATTAAACTCGAATTGAAATATTATTTTTAAATTATACAATTTCTTTTTTATTTTACAAAACTAAGTATATAATATTGTATGTAAATATATATATAAATACATATGCAATGCATATTGTGCATTGTATACTAGCTCAATATCTATACAGGTCGTAAAAATTTGAATAATTTAAGTGGGAGTTGTCTGTCTTAATACTTTGTTAAATTTAAGCTGCATACATTTTTAAAATAGTAATTTAAGTTATTTTGATTGAATATAAAATATAGTTCTATAATTATATTTAATCATAATAACTATTTTATTTTATTTTATCTTATTTAACCAACGGTACCATTATATAAATAGAAAAATAATAGTTTTTCGTGAGGTAAATAATAAAAGGTAAATGATACTCATGTGTCAAAAAAATAAAAATTTACCTATTTTATTAGGTATATTGACGAAAATTACTATGATTACTATGAAAATAGGTCTATAATCGTAGATTTGCAAAATGGTCGTCTGTTTTACGCCTTTTATTTGAAATAGTAGTTAAATATATTATTTATTATTTACTTTGTATCTGATCTTGTATTAATTGCCTAAGTAATATTAAATTATTAAAGTGAATTTATCTTTTTTGAAACTTTGTTAAATTTAATGTAAACCAAACATATTTAACACAATTATTTTAGTAAGTTTGATCAAATATAAAACAGGTACAAGTTTAAAAATTATATCTTACAGAAATAATTTTTTTTTCGACATCATAATTTATACTTATTTTTTCACCAACGAAAAATAAAAAAAAATATCCGTTTTTTGAAATTCTTCTTTAAATGACTTAATTATAAAAATTGATATCGAGGTTCACATTTTTACCTATGTAATACATTTTAGGACTACAAGTGTGATAGGTTTGGCTATGGTCGCTATTACACATACAAACACAAAGACAATGTATTTTATTGAAATAGATACTTTATAAACATTAAGTGTATATGAAATAAATAGATTTTTCAACTTATTGGCTCTCGCCGTCACATTTTGTCTTTTAGGCAAGAAATTTCGATAGTATTTTCGGTTTCAATGTTTTAAATTGTAAAAAAGAGTCAGCTATTTAGTATTTTGTTTGTATTATAAATCTATGATTGTATGCTAAATACATTACACTTACTGGCATGTGTCGTTAACGGACTTGCTACTATCGTTACAGTAGAAGAATTTCCCGTGAAAAAGCTGAACGGCAATGACGGCAAAGATGAAATGAAACAGTATGTACACAATCAGTATGTTGATAACGTTCTTCAGCGAATTTACTACGCAGTCGAAAACTGCTTTCAGCTTGGGTACGCGCTTGATGGTTTTCAGCGGCCGCAATACTCGCAGCACACGAAGTGATTTGATGGTTGATAGGTTCGTGCCGACAGAACCACCACTGTTGTAACGAAAATGCGTTTATTCGCGGTCACAATAATACTATAAAGGCTCAAAAGCCTTGGTTCGTAATAATAGATTAATACTATATGACTTGATAGCTAAGATTCCATAATTTGTAGATCTATTATATTTTAGGAAAAAATTATTAAAAACAAAAATCATTTTTTTTAAGATATTATTATATACGAAAGTGGAATTTATTTTTCGTTATCTATTGGAACTGGATTTGATTATACATTTATAGAACATATAAACATTACAGATAAATTAATTTTAACTATCTTACAGTATACGAATTAATTTAAAATACTATTAAGCTTTTGTTGTTTAATATTATTATTAGATGCTGAACATAATGTTTCTCAAGCATGATAAATACATGATAGAATGTTTCATTTTTGATAATAACTAATAGTTTCGAACTTGTTTTAGATGTTAGTGGTTTTAGACTTGTATAATATTGGGTGGAATGATTAAATTGGCTTGAACATTTTGTGGAATTTAAAAAATCGTTTTAAGAAAAATTGAATAAAGTCAACTTTTGGATTCTTAGCCATCGAATTTATGGTTTTTGGTGCATTACCCTTTTTGGAATATAAATGACGCAAATGCACAGATGACCACCACTGCATCCATTATATTCCAAAACTCTCTGAGATACGAGCCGGGATGTAAAATCACTCCCAAATCGATTATCTGTAACAATAAACATGGATAGTATTTGTCCTTAACTTTTAGTTTCTTAAGTGTCCTTTTAATATTACCTTCAGTATCATTTCAATCGCAAAAATCACTGTGAACACGTTGTCGACTACGTCCAAATAGTTATTCCAATCCGAATCATCGTTAATCGGATCTTCAGCGGCTAACGCTACACTGCTCAATATGATAATCAGCATAATAAAAAAATCGAAATACCTCAAATTAACGATCCAATGGGCGGCTCTTCTAATACTATAAACATTGAAAACAACACGTAAGTTTATAAAAACGTAATAAAAAAAAAATTACAAAAGCTTATAAAATTACCCGTTGGTAGGTGACAGTAAAAACATTGACGAATACGGTAACATAGGTTTTGGACCTTCGTCTTCTTCTTCCTCTTCTACTTTGCTGTCAGGCTCGTCTGAATGATGTTTTCGGTGATGTCTGATAAGTGAAACACTTCGAATTATTTCATAAATTAATGTCAAAAACACTCATGAACATGGTTATCAAATGTTTTACCTGGAATTTTGGGATGGCGATGTTGGTATCATTTCCATTTTGGACGGGTCAGTACTCATCTGTAATGCTTCCATTTCTTTTTCGAGCTCTTGTTGTTGTTTCTGTACAATATATCAGCATAAATAATAGTTCTTATACATGTCCTTATCACTAACACTTACTTCTTTATCCTCTTCTTCTTGTTCTTCTTCGGCAGCTGTTAATTCTTGCGCGTTTGCTAAATTGTCAACGGCAATGGCCAAGAACACGTTTAACAGTGTATAGTTACCAAACAATACTAAGATAATGAAGTATAAAGCATATATCATCCCTCCGCCTTGAGCCTTGGATTGACTTCTAATGCCTTGGTACATGACTTCGTTCCAATCTTCACCGGTTAAAATCTAAGAGTTATATTAATAATATTGATAATAACAGAATTTATTATAACAACCATATAATGTAGTTTTTATACGATTGACTTACCTGAAATACGGTTAACAGAGCTATTGGAAATGTGTTGAAGTTTGTCGGAGGAGTTCCTTCCTCAAAATTAAACTGTCCACCGAACAACTGCATACCGAGCAGTGCAAATATCAGTATGAATAAGAACAGTAGGAAAAGCAACGATATGATTGATCTCATGGAGTTGAGTAACGATATCACGAGGTTCCTCAACGAAGACCAATACCTGAGACGAAATGATAAGGCATTATAAGGATGTGGTGTATTTGGCACAGGTTTAATAGTGATGTTCCTACAGACAACTTCGTAGAGTAATAACAAAGTATAAGAACATGATATTTACTTTGTCACTTTGAATATTCGTAATAACCGAAGTGCTCTCAGCACAGACAGACCGAAGGAACCACCTTTGACGGCTGACCAAACGACTTCGAATATAGAGCCCATGATTACAATGCAATCGAAACGGTTGAACGCGGAATCAAAGTATATTCGTATGCCAAGCGCGTACATCTTGATGAACATTTCGGCCATGAAGAGCATGAGGAATACGTACTCAGAATAAACTGTAATTTTTAAAATCGTAATAATTAATTAATATAACATATAAACTACGAAGAGTATAAATTAAAAAAAAAAAAAGCAGTAGTTTATTATAATAACACAAAGAAGAAAAAGTGTTAAATCAATGTTAAGTCTTACAGACAAAATTCGTTATGTATTCTGGTTGTTTGTGATGTTCAATGGCCACGAACACTGTATTAAAAAACACTAATACGATGACGAACCAATAGAACCATTGCGCTTTTACCATGCGTCTGATCCAAAACCTAAACCGTTTTTCTGCTCTCCACATGGAAGCACAAACGCCTTTTTTTCGCATTCGGTCTTTGAACGTTGGCGTGCGTGGGAAACCTGTGGATTAATAAGATTTGCTTTGAAAAAATATATTAAAATGCAACTGAGCTATGAATACTATTTTGTCTACCGATAAACTCGTTATAATAAAACATCAATGGCTAACTGGTAGCGGTTATATGTATTAGAAAGCATTTAGTTTAAGTAAATAATATTTTTATTATATTTATATATTAATAGTTATAAGATTGTCATTATTATTATTAATATATAATTATGATAATTAAGTCATTATTATTATTGTTAATAGATAAAAACATTGATAAGTGTTAAGAAAAAGCAAATAATATAAATAATAATAAAAAAAAAAACAATAACTTTTATTATGATATTAAGCATAATTACAATAGTAGCTTCAACAAAAATTTGCTCGTTATTCACACATTCAATATAGTTTATCAGTAAAAATAACTTCATAAAAATTATATGATATTCTGAAAAATTAAGTAGTTGACCATATAACCGCCGCAGGGAAATCAGCAACACCGTATAATAACTGTTATAATATACATTTATGTTTGAAACAAAGTGTATTTTTTGTCTACAAAATTTGTATTATTTACACAAGTTGTTTGTTTTATAATATTGTCTATAACTACTATATCTAAAAATTATTATCAACTGCCCACCCTTATACGCACACACGCACACAAACACACACGCCTCCAACATGCAAAAGTCAGTTTCTTCCGCAGTGTATAAAATCCTGGGCGTTTCTAAATAACACCCTCATCTCAATCAAAACGTTCTAGGCAAAACTCACGCTTAATATACGCCTCTTACGTGAAACAAAAAAAAAAAAAAACTGTACCTTTTTTGCCTTTACCAAGCACTGAAACATAACATTGAATATTTCGATAAAGTTTTAATAAGTTTTAGGTATACACTATAATTTAATATAATATAATAGAAACCGGGGACGTTTAGCCACCAACGGCATAATACAATAGAAACGCGGGGTTTATCATCCCCGGAATCCACGCCATATGCAATTGCCACGAATATAGAACAAGTGTATTTACCTTCATCGGCTTCTTCTTCCTCGCACTCCTCTTCGGATTCGGTGCTTTTACTTTTGCCCAAGGTTTTCAGTTTTTTCCTTTTTATGTCAGCTCTTCTTCTTGCTGTGATAAATTAGAAAATCACCGCATTATAATATTATGCGATATAATATTCGAGACAGAAACGAATAACATCTAAAAATTAACACTAACGTTATTTGGTATATCTTACCTTCGATTATATGTCTTCTCTCTTCATCTGTGGTCCGTTCTTCGGCCAGAATGACTTCTTCTATTATATCGAAATAAAATAAAATAAACACCAATGCATTAATTAATTTGCAGAAATGTTTACACGTTATGCACCATTTAAATACTGTACGCATTATGACGTCTACGGGGGTACAAACATTTCGAACTTAAGCCAATACTTACCGGCTTTGCATATCCAGTCTACATAACCATTGAGCTCGCGTTCCAGCTGTTGCTGTCGCCGTAGCTTCAAAAACGTTTGTCGATTTTCGACCTTTTCTCTTTCTTTAGCGAATTCTCTACAAAGCCAGGACACAAGGATTGGTATTACATGAACTACTATATAAAACTGCAGCTTACAATGTTAATTATATGATTGAGGTTTTAACTAAAATTTTAAAACAAAATAAAATGTACGTAGAGTCGTTAGAGGCTATAAATACGAGGTTTTACATTATAAAACGCATGTGCACGGGTTTTTCGTACTTCAACGCGTGTTTAAACCGTGGTAGTTGTTATTTTAGGCAAAATTAGGATGGGATATGTTTAAAAAAAAATGTATACACAATATATGCAATAATATTATACTTGGAACAGAAAATATAAAGTTCAAAAAGGTCAAATACGTATAGTACCGTTTACCCTTCACAAAATAATTACGCGCGTTTAGAACACGGTATTAATATAATACCTGCAGCCGTAATCCAGTTAATGTAAGTATTAAACATATCGATGTATTTTTTTTTCGTGCGCATCTTGTAATATTTAGCCTTCCGCTCTACGCGGGTTCTTTCGTTCGAAAACTCTCTGCAAGCGTATAAAAGCGTATGAAAACTTCGTAGGATAAAATATAGATACCGAGTATTTGTTTGTATTTATATTTGTCTATTTGTTTGTTTTTCCCGTAACATTTTATTATGTTTCAACGGTTATTTAGTTATCATATAATATACTAAGACAGAAATGAAACTTACCCGCTAAGCACACCAAGAACTAAATTGAGCATAAAAAATGAACCTAGAATAATAAGTGGTACAAAATATATCCAATTGAACGTTACGCCGTACGCATCGTTCATCTGAAATGACAATCATTAATAACGGTGATAATAATTACGTAATATACAAATATAACACATTTTTATTGACATAAATTTAAGCGAAATTTTCGATAAAAGATATAGCGTTTAATATTTTTAAATATATCGAGTAATATACTATAATATTATAATAAAATAATTTTTTAAATTGTTTTTATAGGTACATAATATCTAAAAACAGAATTTTTTACAAGTTTTGATTGGAAAATCGATACGAAAAAATACGAATCCTCATCATATTATTTGTGACTTAATAATTTTCAAAGTATTTTCGTTACATAGTTTTATTAAGAATTATGCGCTATACAAAAATCATTTTTTATTCTGCAATAATATAGGTAATTTTATAGTTGCTTTATTCAACGATAATAAAATTATTTTAATATAGTATAGCTTAAGAAGACGATACGTTATTTTTTTGTACTACACATATAACATACTAACATTTTATTATTTTCTATTTACTGAAGATTTATTTTAAAATTGAATATAAATAAATAATAAATGTTGAAAAATGAATGCCGTAAGGAACATTTTATCACAAATTATTAATAACATTAAAATTCTATCTATACTATGATATCTGAAATGTTGTCCCGTAGTTCAAAAACTAATTTCTATCGTAATATTATACTATTATGTGCGGTTGAATATATATTATTATTGTTTTCGTTATTTATTTGTTTATTTTGGTTTTTATGTTGTTCAACTAACCCAGTACAGAATGGTAGTCCACCCTTCCATGGTTATGCATTGGAAAACGGTGAGCATGGCGAGTCCGATGTTATCAAACGACGTGATCCCATAGTTGGGACCTACCCAGTTCTCTATGCACGTGGACGTCGTGTTATCACAGAAGTACGCGTTGTACGGTTTTTCTTCTGAGTCCGAGTCCGAGTTGCAAGGTGCTGGGTTCTGTCCCTCGATTTCCATCGCAACCAGATTATTCAACCTAACGTATCAACTCAAACATCTTATACAACTGTAGTTCAGTGAAAATAGTAGCTTGAATAGGTAGTATCGGAAATGCAAATGAATTGTATTATACATGTACGCAAATGTCTGGTAATACTAATAATATTATGTTATTGGTATATTAATATGCGTATAAATTCATTCGTGTTATTATTAAGTGTTAACATTATTGGTAAGTGACTGATCACTAAAAGTACACAACATCACATACAAGTGTTGTGTTGTATTCTCTTACAAACATACAACATAGCAAATTCATGTTCAGTAAAACCAATTTCATATAATTAACTTTAATATTATCTTTTAACAAAGTTTATCCACTGAAAAGTCTCTTTAACCTGTTATTCCTGTACTGTTTATTATAAAATAAGCTTATTGTTTAAATTCTAACAGATTGTTAAATAAAAAGTTATGTTAAAGAAAAAAAATGTTTTAATATTATAGTTAATTGACCTATGATCAGTACTTTATCTGCTGTGTTTTCTTGTTGGATTTTACGATATTTTAATTGAGAATTTTTTTTTTTTATTTAGTTGACCCGCGGCTACTAAGGCCATTGGGTTTTTTTAAGTAAGGTTGGTTCGGTAGGTTGTATTTTTTTACGATTGATACGGTTGATAGCAAACACGTGTATGTTTGGCAAGGTTTTTAACCACTATGATCCCGAATGGTCACCCATCCGAGAGCTAGTAGCTGTGGCCGTTACTTACTCCCAGTGGCATTCCGCAACTGGAAGCAGCCAACGCGCCACGCCAAGCCACTTAATTGAGAATTAAAAACATTATTTTATATTAATATTCATATATTTATAACTCGATTATAAATATTAAACTATCGTGTCAATTGACAAGAGAACTTAACAGATAAAATTCTTACCTTTATATGTTTGATCATTGGTCAATTCACTACAATATTTAAGTTAACAACATAAAATTGGTCATACTGATTTGCAAAATTTGATAAAAGTTTTATGTGGCGTCCTCTTAAATAAACATAAGGTTTATTAGTGGTTAATTATTTTAATTTTAAATAAACAAATATCTTAGATGCTATACGGTATATAGTAGGGATGACGGAAATACCGGTATACCATCTTTTTTAAAAAACTGTTAACTAATTTCGGTATTTTGGATATTCCGATATTTTCAATGTATTCGGTATTTCGATATTTTCCCTAAACAGTTTTTTTTTAAAATATGGTATATTTTTAAATATATTAACATTGTTAAATATTTACATTGTTATTTTTAAATTGTACAAAATGACTGATCATAATTATCTCTATCAACAAAATACGTTGAAGAAATTATATTTTTATCTATGCATTATAAATTTGTTTCAAAATAATATCTTATTTTTTTATAAATATATTAATAAATAAATAAAATCATATTAATGTTATTATATAATATTTTATTTAATAATAACTATAATTTATTATATTAATATTATTCATGATAAATAATAATATATGTTAGGTATATATTTCAATTTGTTATCGTAATTCATTATGTGGATATAAGGGAAAGGATTGCTCACTAGGGATGGAAGTTCCCCTTTGTAACACCAACATTCATACATAAAAAAAAGGTGATGTAACCTAAATTATTGAAAATACTAAATAATAATATAGCAAAATATTGATAATATTGGAATACTAATAATTCTGAAATATAGAGTATACTGAAAATGTCATAAACTGGTATTTTCGGTATACTCTATATTTCAGAATTATTAGTATTCCAGTATTATCAATATTTTGCTATACTATTATTTATACCAACTCATACCGGTACAAAATATCATACTGAAATATTGATGTAAAAATAACATACCGTCACCCCTAGTATATAGTATAATATACAACACGAGTACAAAGATTTACTCAGTTAAAATAATGGAGACATATCTCAACAATGATAATTAGGATAATTGTATGCTAATAACCATAATTAAAACATGAATCTATTAAACAAAACGATTTTGTAATATCTGGTGTACGTCACATTACTACCTAGAATAATACAATGATAAATAAAAAATGTGTATATCATTTTTTTTAAATATATTATTATATTATCATTCCACATAAAACGCATAAAAATAGTACTTCACATAATACACCTATAATATGTAAGAATACCGATAACATTAACACAACTATATTTACTATAATTGTCAACTTTAGGTTTAAAGTAAACCCTACAATGTTTCATTTATATTGCGCTGCTATTATAAAATATTATGTCAACTATTTATTTAATTTTAGATTTATTTGTGTAATATATTTCGAACATTTTTTTTTTTTTTTTTAGTAGTTGATAATTTCATAAAATATCCAAAATTATCATTTTTTGTTGAACTTATTTTTTTTTAGAATATTAAAAAATTACAAACAATTAATATTTGAAAATTACGTAAACGAATATAATAATGAAGTAATGTGATAATTCATAACATTAAACGGTAATAAGTGATAACTATCAAACCCAGGGGAATAGTAAGTTCCTACACGAGAGTAGCAGGTAAACAATTTCATATGTTAGTTCCTACACGGACATATGTAAGTTCCTATACGGTAAAAACCAGGTACGTATGTTAGTACCTACAAGGCGGAAAAAGGTACACATGTAAGTTCCTACACGGTAAAAACCAAGAAAAACCAGGTACGTATGTTAGTTCCTACACGGCGGAAAAAGGGTGTAAATATGCATATACGAATAAATATATGATGATTATATAATATAATATAATACAAATCGCATAACAATTTTCACAAATAAGTATATAATTATTAGATTTGTGACTATGCGTAATGCAATTTTTTTTATATTTTTTACTTTTCAAATTATATTATATTTAACCGTGAAAAATTAAAATGCATTATGCAATTTGTATTGTATATTGTATAATCATCATATATGTATTTATTCGTATATACATATTTACTCCTTTTTTTCACAGTGTAGGAACTAACATATGTACCTGGATATTACCGTGTAGGAACTTACATACATACCTTTTTCCGCTGTGTAGGAACTAACGCGTGTATTTTTTTTACCTGCTATTCGCGCGTAAGAAAATACGTTTTCTATGGGATGGGATCCTAAGTATATATATATATATTAGAGTGTTACCTAAACTCTGTGTCTCAGCTCTAAAGCCAACCAATATCATACTTAGTTCAATAAAATAAATAAATAATTTAAAATAGTTAAATAAATAAAACTAAATGGTAAATAGTGGGTCGTATTAAATTAATATAATTAAGGTTAATTTGAATACTATATAAGCGACATTGTTGATAATAAGAAAGTTAATGTCAGCCGATTAAAATGAAAGTATAATAAGTCATATTTTTTGAAAAATAATGAAAATGTATGCACTTACTTAAGGTTATTAAATAAATTAATTTTATGGTGAATTAAATTAAATAACATTCTACAATAGAAGGCATCATTTATAGTTTCATTTCAGAACTGAAAAAAAGGTCGAATGAGAATGATAATGCGGTGTAAGTTTGTGTTATAAATGCTTTAAAAAAAATCAAATAATAAAGACTAATAAAAACTATTCCAATTTCGAGCTTTCCTACATGACAACCTATTTAAATTTCAACAATTTGCCATATTTACAGTAAACTGACATATTTTTCTAGACAAAATAATATATATCTAAGTTATAATAATATTCAAAGTGAAATATAAATTTTTGTTTTATGAAAGTAGTGTAACACAAAACTCACTTAGATGCTATAAAAAGAAGGTTAAAATTAAATATTTGGTTGTGGACATTTTCTTTTGTTGGATTTTTGGTACAATGAAGTTAATTTCAATATTATAGGCATACATGCAGATTTATACGAATCATCAATGCTGAGGTATGTTTATTTTAGAATGGCTAAATACTGACTTACGCCACTTCTGTTCTAATCGGTTTATGTATTAAAATATTTAAATTATTTAAAATAATAGAAATAAAATCATACAAAACATTTTCATGGATGTTGAATTCAAATAGAATTTGTTTTTAAATTTATGTGATTGAATTTAAATTAATTTATATAAATTATTGAACACCATATGTCAGTCAGACACGATGAAATAATCTTATTTTAGAAACATATAGCTACGATTTAAGTTATTTAATAATTTAATAATATCTCTTTATTAAAATCAATAATTTATAGGTATTTTAAGTTAATTTTAATTTTCTATGGTAAATTTGTCAAGGTATAGTGTTAATTTTTTCTAAATACATTTAAGAATTGAATTTATTATGTTAATTTTTCGTATATTTTTTTTTAAATGTATATCAATCATAAAAATTTGATCTTTAACTTTGGTGATTGACATTACTTAGGTAATTTAATGTTAAACATTGTGATAATTAAGCTTGAAAGATATATTTTTTTTTTAGCAACATTCATTGAAACGAAAAATTGTGTAAGTTTAAAAGTAAAAATTTAAGTAATTTGATATAGTTGAATTAAGATGTTGCAACGAAATTAGTAGTGTAATTTAATTAACGATAAAAATCTACACAGCTTCTATAGACTGTGGCTGCATAAAAATAAGTAGGTACAGTTTTTAAATACATTATTCTACTTAAAAAATATTATTTTTTTTATATTACAATAATTTAAGATTATATAAAGCCTTTTTTTAATAAATAAAGGTTTAAATAAAAATCCGTGATTATTTTTTTTTTTAAACTGTACCATCTAAAATGCGCAATATAATACAATCATTTAAATACTACCTAACCAGACACTCTATTCATGTATATATATATATATACGCTTGTGCAAATAATCATTGATCGTATTAAATCATTTGTATGACCGTGGCTCAGAAAATGTAGCATTTTATTTCAATAAATTATAATTATAATTAAAAATTATTCGATAAAAATATGTAATTTATTAGTATAAATAATGAATTGTAGCAAATAAAAAAATAGAAGGATTTAAAAATATTTCAAAAATGTAATAATTTGATGACATAATTTAAGTTAACGGATATTATAAATACGGACAACTTTACTGTAATAAACGGTAGGTACTTAGGATTTTACGTTTTATACATTTAGTATATAATATATGTCGACATTTTGAAAGTACGAATATGCTTACAGTCTGTTTGCTTACAATATTAGAACCAATTTTTTCCCGCATAAATTATAAAAACAAATTATACTTAAATAGCATTTGGTCACATAAATAATTGATAGACAGTAATCGAATGAATATAAAAACAAAACGAAAAAAAAAAAAAAAAATTCAACGCTTAAAAACCTTAAAATAATATAGATGAAAAAAAAAATAAAAATTGAAATCGTTGAAAATTTACAAGTTCTGAGCCCCGGTCATGTTATTTAAACTGATTACGCACTTGTAGCAAGTCTTGTGCAACGCTCCGGAGTAAAATTCTAATCCAATGATTGCAAATATGATGATAGCAAATAACACCAATAAGCCAATCTGGAGTAGCGGTGCCATAGCTTTGATGATGGACTTCAGCACGACTTGCAGACCTATACGGGTAGACAAAAACATACAGGGGGTTTACGTCTTGTCGTCAAGACGGTCGGTCGCATCTAATATGCTAGTATGATAGTATAATAAAATTTCCCCAATAATAAGGTCGACGACAATTACTCGCGAGTACGTATTTTAATATGTAAGCTGTATATTACGATTCATTGTATGAGGTACAGTGTGATTTTTTCTAACCTAAAACAACAGTTGAGTCAGTACCACTTTTACTAGTTAATTACCATCGTATAGAGATACAATGGTAATAATATGTAAAACCAATAAAAGTTAAGGACGGGAAGAGTCGATCGGTGAAATCGATTCGCCAACTCTCGAGTCGGAAAAAATCACTACCGCACGCTGCACAAAGATCTATATTGGTGTATAGATGTTATATATTATAATATAGGTATATACGCGCGATGCATCGACGCGACCATTATTATTGGACGTTACCGTTCTACGGCCAAATTTTAATTTCAGTTTTTTTTTTTTTTTTTTCTATTTTTTTTTTTTCTCTGTTGACCTTCTGACTGACTCCGTGGGGTGGGGGGAAAAGAGATTTGCGAGGTTTTGGGCAAACCTCACTACATGTATTAGTTGTTTTCGCCGTGTGCGTGTATTTGCGGTGTACTCACTTGGAATTCCGGAGACCAATTTGAGCGGCCTCAATACCCGGATCGCTCGCAGCGTCCGAAGATCCATGTTTGCCGCTGACGGTATTTGTGTTATACATCTGTGGCAACAACACTTCTAATCACTACTCAGTGCGCTACCTACCCCAAAATAAACACGCAATCCGTTCTATTCATCTAGTTCTATGCGTCTATATGTATATAGTTAATAAATAATGTATCTGGACGTGTCTATATAATAATAATAATAATAATAATAATAATAATAATGATAATAATAATAATAATATATAATATCTGTTCGATATGGTCGTGCGCGATGGTCCCGAATACAAAATAATAATAATAATAATAAAAAAATTGTAATAATAGTAATAGTAATAATAATAATAATAATAATAATAATAATAATATGATATAGTATAATATAATATATATATATATATGATATATATATATAAAATATGTAATAATATATATAGGTAGTAATTAATAATAATAATAATAAATAAATAAATAAAACAAACCGGAATCTACGGATCGAAATACAAGATTATTTAAGATACGTTCAAATATAGCAAAAATAATGTCGGTTTATATATATATATATATAATATTTATGTATTACGCATTAATTTATTATTCCATGTTAATCATTGTAAGTTTTATGCCGGGAATATTTTCAAAAGTTCTAGGATAGGGCTGAGGTTGTGATGACAACGGTTTTAACGACGACACACGTATTAAATATAATATTATATAACATGGTTATGACATATTGCGTTCCCGTTTTCATTTTTTTTTTATACTCGCGGCGTTTCCTGATTTTGACCGATGTACAAAATATTGCAAACTGCCACTATAATAGACCAATAATTCTAAATTCGCCAACATTATCGTCCACTATATTCCAAATATATGTATGTATTAATATTATGCTCTTATAGCAGTATTGAAAATACAATAATATTAAAACATAAAAAATTAAATATACGATTTAAAACAAAAATAATCTACGATATTAATATTTATTATAATATATTATCTACGGTTGACTCGCTCAAGTCAACGATGACGTGCAGATTTCTAAAAGAAAATTATTTTATTTTTCGAGGTATATTATTAATCGTATAATATCAATATGTATTATTCATAATAAAACAAAAAAACAAAATATATATAATCGATCAACAGCTTTATACAAAATATATATATATATAAATAATAAAGACCCGTTGTTATTTCTATCTAGTTTTCTAATACACCTAATCGGATCTAAATGATGTATGAATACTGTTATAAATCTGTTCGAATCAAGCCGAATAATAATATATAATCCAACTACAAATCGATCAACTGTATCAACGGTAGTTCTACACGGGAATTTCTATCATCCAGCAAAAGTCCAAAAGAATAATATATATTATGTATATATGTAAATATATATAATATATGTATAAAAGTTCGCAAACCAACGGTTACGGTCTAATCCGATATTCGGAATATGTCTATACCAAATGCAATACGCCTACAAAAACGGGTTAAACAAATGGTTTTACTGAAAAATAATAGAACATTCGAGGATTTTTATTGTGTCAAAAATGCTTTCCTGTGATCCTGAGACATTTCGAGTGCCTTACTTGGGATTCTCGAAACCAGTTTCAAAGGCCTGAGCACCCGAAAGGACCTCAACATCCTCATGTCCAGCATGTTGGACTCCATGAATTCAGTCATTGACCTAGAAATCGGTAAACCCCTGAGTCCAATGTATCCCTAGCCGATTCAAAATTGTTTTGCTTAACATATACGTTTTGTTCTAATTTTTTTTTTTCTTAGATTTCGTGTCTATTTTTTAAGTATTTTTTTATTGTATATTAAAAATTGAAGTATTTTCATAATAAATTTGTGTACTCACCCTGTTACAACTACAAAAAAGTCCATAATGTTCCATATATTACGAAGATATGAGCCGCTGTGCAGTAAAAAACCTAAAGCTAATATTTTGAGAGTCGCTTCGACGCAAAAAATTGCTAGGAAAACGAGTTCGGTTGCCTCCTGAAATTATTACACCGAACAATTTTGTTTTAATAAAGCAGAAAAATATAACCAAAAACCAAAAATCGTTTTAAAATGTATTTAATATGTACGATAACACTCGGGTGATTTACCAAAGTCTTAGCAAGTACAGTCTTGTCTCCCCTGGGCAGATGTTCCTCCAGAGCCAACACCACGCAGTTGGCTATGATGGTTAACAGCACCGCATATTCGAACGGAGTGAGAAATAATTGAATTAAGAAAAATGCAATAACAATGTCGTATACACTAATATAAAGCAAGAGAAAAAATATATTATCAGTAAAAATTTAAAATCTTTTTTTTTTTTTATCTAGATCTTGATTTAGCATTTGTTATAAACTCAAAATACGTTTATAATAATTAATAAAGTGTTAAAATAAAATCATAAACGTATACAAGATGAGAAACCATAACCAAACTACAACACTGGAAAAATGTTATATGTATATTGTGATGATGTCAAAATATTAATCTTGAATATTGTATATTAGGTACGTTTTAAGGCCTCATAAGAAATTTACAGTGACGTTCAGACAAAGAAAGAGGGAAATCGGGAAAAAAAATGAAAGAGACTACATAATTATTTCCGTTAAAAACTAGTCGCGTCGTGGTTTAGCAAAACTTGCACACGTGAGAGAAACCAATTCAATTAGATTTTATATTATGCTTTGCATAGTTTTTATTAGGGCGTATTATTTAAATGTTCAGTATACTATCTATTTAAAATTTAATATGATTAAATATTACATATACACTATTCAATATAGAACAGATTAAACGATGACGTATACAAATATTTGATGGTCATATGCTAAGTCGCATCTAGGGCTGGTGACAAGCTTATAGAATTATAGTTAAATACGATTAAAAATATTTAATATTTATTATAAATTATTATAGCTATAAATGGTGACATATCGAATTCGAAAATATTATCAAAAGCAAAGCATTTTCACTAAGTATATTATCTACTATATGAAAACTAAGGGTTAAGGCCCTTAAATACTTAGAAAACTTCAATAAATGGGATTTAATAAAAACAATTTTTTAGTTAAAACTTTATTATTATAGTTTTATCAACCTTGCAAAGGTCGTACGTCGATCGTACTGTGTTATGATTTTTAACACCGTTTTTTTCTCAGTGACTTACAATGTCAGTCGAATGACATAAGTGTGGACAACATAAGGTTTTCAGATGTTTAGATATTATATTAAATAATTGGGCGTTTCAAAAGGATATGGCCATTCGATGATGAACCTGGTGTACCGGCGGACGGGGTTGTCGGTGCTGAACAGGAACAAGGACGACGGCCCAGGGGGCGCGTCCGCCTGCTGATGGTGGTGATGGTGGTGATGGTGGTGGGACCGCGGCCTCCCCATGCCGGCGGATGTTCCCGCCGACCCGATGCAGTCACGTCCCGCGGCCGCAGCGACTTCCTTCTCCGTCGCCAACCTATATAAACGGTAAATACGACTCAAATAAGTATATGGATTCATATTTATATATTATATCAAATACATTGCGTAAGAGTGATCACACTAATCATAAGTAAATATGTAAATAAACGTTTACAATAAAAAATATAAAATTTATATATTTTATCTTATAAATTAGGTAATAGGTATAGTAATATTATCTTGGGTATGTAAAAATTGTTCATAATAATATAACAATTTACAAACAATAGGTAGGTTTAATTTGAAAATACAATTGTTGTTGATCGAGTCGTTGAAAAATTCTTGAACATAGTTATAAACAAAATATAAACTGGCGAAGATTACCTATTATCGAGCTTATTATTTTAATACAAACTAATAACACATGTTTTTCAGCACGCATTTTGTGTATACTGTATAGTAAATAATTGCTTTCATATAAGATATTTTAGACAATGAATAAAATCAAATGTGTATATAATCGATAGATTATATTTTCTTTAAGCGATAAAAATAATTGAACAAAACCCATTAAGAACTATAGCAGTTTATTTTCATAAAACGTAGAGTTTTGGCGGTTAAACGGAGAGAAATCGATACTCCCTATTGCATTAAATCTGCAAAAGCTTTGTAATACTCGTATCTATTATACCTATTATAATACTGAAAATTTATTTCAATTTTCAATAATAGATTTACCCGCAAAGAATGAAGTAAAAATTGCAAATTAAAAAAACAATTGTGACTTACAAATTCCACTCAATATAAAAAATTAAATGTACACTAACTGTCTACCTCATTATTATTTGAAAAATTAATTCATTATGTTTGCTAACTCTCTCTAAATTTCTTTTTTTCTCTGTCACATATAAAAGATTATATTATAATGTCCAATGCCCGATATTCTTAAACTTAACGACTTTAAAGATAACTTGATAAGACAGGTATTTCATTTTTCTTTTATAGTGCTAAATAAAACCTAACCTTATGACATTTAATCTGATTCTTCTTTCGGTGGTACTTATTATGTATTGCAATATAACATAATAATAAATAATATTAATAATCTATAATATATAATATATTATATATAGTCATATAGTCTATATATTATGATGTTTTTATTTTAATTGCCTCAGTTAGTTAAACTCTTATCTTTGTATTAAAAATATTTTTAATAAAAATAAACAATTAGACAACATTAAAAATATTTTTTTCTATTGGGGTTTTTTACTTAGTCATTTTGTATAAACTTTCAATTTTACAAAATTAATATAAACATAACTTTTTTGTACCTCCACGGATACTAGTACAATATATTATTATTTAGATACTTTCATTTTATTTTGAATCATGCTTCATATATATATATATATATATATATATAATGTAATATAATGATTATGCCTTATTGCCCTATATTAATGTTTTTCCCTAGTATATAGATATATTGTGTAATACAAGTATTCATATATTACCATTTTTAGTTTTATTATATGTTGTTTTCTTTTTTTTATTTTTTTTTCTTAGTCGTAAGTAATTTATTATTTAATGGTAAATTGGAAAAATATATTTTACATTGCAGTTAATAAATTTATAAATTAATTTTATTTATATTTGATCAGATTTTATTCTGATGATCGCACTAGGTATATATCGTGAATTTATTATTTTTAGACATCAAGTGCAGTATTTAATTAAGTTTCATATTAATTCCATATATTTTGATTATTTTAGAAAATATTCCTCATCTTTTACATTTTGTATTTATGTATAAGTTTATTCTACGGCGACCATGATTAATTCAGGAAAAAAGTGTTCAAAATTATATGAATTGAAAAGGGGAGAATTTAGCGAGACCTTTTAAATAAAATCGCTCGTCAAAAATAGATTAACATGGGAATAAAATTAGAGCTGAAGCGATCATATTGAATACATACTATATACTATGGTCTAAATTTTTATTATATATCTATGCATAACATTTATGATATATTTATATTCACATTGTCTCATTACGTATAGTTACGTATGTTTAATCTATTGTTTTTGGTAACAAATTCAATGAATTTTCAACTCTGATAGTAGATTGGTGTGGGAAATAAGTCACATGGACATTGAATGCAAAGTGTTTATACAATTACCCGACTATTAATAGTCGTACAGATTATAATATTGATTACCTTAAACAAATATTTGAGTGACAATATAGTTAACGTGCAGGCGATTATGTAATTTCAATTATATTGTTTTGTTTAAATACGTATTATATTATAATATACTCATTACATGTCCTATAATTTTTCTGGTGTAACAATTTCAATATAACCTTTTTTTTTTTTATATATCATTAAGCTTTTTTCTCAGTAATCATGAATTTTTTTATAGCACCCTAATGAACGTGACATCTTTATTTTCTGAGATAATAATTATGATTATAACTTACAAGTGAGTATACAGAGTGTCCGATAGTGTTTGAGATGGGGTTTTCGGAATGTGAAAATGAAGTTTGCATAATCCTTCTACTTGAAAAAGGACAGGCATTTCGCGATATTCTGTATGCACATGTACTTATTAATAACGTATACACATACACGAGTAAGTGTATGTGAATGGTATTCATTTAAAAATGCAAGTTTTATCACGTAGTTTAAAAGCTGAATAGTTCATAAGTTATCAACGTGACTCATAATCAACTTTATTTCACGATGCTCCGAAAGATATTAAACACGGTTCATTTCAAAGAGATAAAAAAATTGTTTGTACTTAAAGCAAGTAGACGTTACAGAATTTATACAAGCATTATATGTTATCCTCAAATCTCTATTCAAACATTACATCTATGCAGATTGTCTATACGCTTATGAAAATAAAAAACTATTTAATCAAGTACAATCAAGTAATAATACTTAAGTGAAACAACATGATACATCTCATTTAAAAGAAACTGGATTGAAAGCGATTCGATACAAATGGATAATAATGCAAAATTTAATAGCATAATTTATTAAGTATAATATACCTACATAGCATGTTTTAGTGTGATTTTATTCAATTTATAATAATAATGTATCATAATTCATTAAACTTAGAATTACATTTATTAATCACGTTTCGTCACGAGTAATTATAAAAAATCAACGGTAATATAACGAATTTTGAAAAGAGTATTTAAATAACAACAAAATAATCCTCGCCTAAGTAATGTGGCAATAAATTATATTAAAAAAATAAATACTTAAGCTCCTACATTACAGTACTTATTCACAGTAACGACTAACAGAGACTAACAGATAACTAGTAACACTTTTTCATTTAGAAATTAATTTAATACAGTTTAATTTTGTGAATCAATTTACTTAACAGACAGTTACACATTTAGAAATCATAACAAGTTTAATGCAGTTAGTCGTCATTTTATACAGAACATTACGATATATGAATTAAAAAAAAATACGAGTTCTAATAAAATATCTACATTTAAATTCAAAACTTTCCATTTCCAACCAATTAACTATGATATCTGAATAATGGTAAGTAATAAATATAACAGGACTATCAAAACTTTCGTCGTGAACGTCCTACACAGTCAAGAATTGTTAGATGACCAAAAAACTGCAGTGTTTTCTGCGAGGATATTTAATCTCTCAGTACAGGAATCGCAAACGATCGTTATAGATCAGAGATAAATTGTTTTAACAAGGATGGTCCACATATTTAAAATGAATATTATAAACATATATATATATATATATATATTATGTTATATGGCGTATACGTATATACTATATATAATAAAGAACCACAAAAGAGTATGGAAAATTACTTATAAATTGATATGTGTGCATAGTTTTCTTTTTATTTATTATATTAAGACTAAACTGACAGATATATGAAATTATTATACATTGTATGTATTGTATAACTGTGGTATGTTTGTATTATACACTATAACAGTATCGTTTAGGTATAAATAGTATAATTAATAAAAAAAAAGCGTCAAGGGCCAGGTGCAAAACACGTCTAGGTGTAGTATAATTTTGTATGTCGATGCGTTATGTAAATGATTAATATTTAAAAATAACTACACGCAAAAAAAATCCAACAAAAAACGTATTTGTCATGTAAATACAAAAACTTAAATTTTTTTTTTTTTTTGTGGCATTTGTATAAAAATTTCAAAGTGTCAAAGTATGTCTAATGTTCAAAATGAATATATGAAATATTACAATTTGTCGTAGAATTTTCTGAACCGACGATAAAAATACATAATTATTATGATATAGTTTTAAGATCAATGTTTTTTTTTTTAAACCATTCGAATAAGTCTAATGAAACTTAGGTAAACTGTATTTATTTTTATTTTTTTAAATATTAATCGTACGTATTTTTTTTTTTTTTTTTTTAAAGTGCACAATTTTAATCATTATATATTGCAAACAAATCCTCGCCGTATTAATAACACAATCGTCCTGCACAGAGCAAGACCGCGGATCGGCAGATCGGCCGGTCGTGCTGCTGCGCCACAAAACGCTAGCTGGCGCGTTGCTTGTGCCGGTGGAGAAGGTGACGGCGGCGATGGCGAAGTCGGCGGGACCAGCAAAACGCCATATAGCGATCGATGCGCTACGCTCCGCGGCGGTGCCTCAGCTCGCGCGGCGTCTGTGACGTCACTGTTCGCCGAGTCACGGGTTGTTGTTACGTCACGGACCATAAACCCGTCCCACTAACCAACTTCGAGTCGATACGCCGTCCCCCGGCCCACCGACACCGGCGAAAGGGAGAGTCTCCGCTACTGTCACGTTGCCGGTCCGCGCGCGCGTCGCTCTGGCTGATTTTTTTTGCGCACACACACCTTTGAATGGCCCGGCGGCGGCGGCGGCGGCGGCGGCGGCGAGCTCGTAGTCGTCGTACTCTTTTGCCCGTAACCGCTGCCGCCGCCGCTTTTCCGGTAACAACCGTTACTACTTGACCTTTTTCCGCGTTACGTCAATACGCGTGCGGCGAGCAAAGAGT